GGTTTCTTGGTTTTCTTTATTGTATTAAGTTGTTTTAAGTTATTTTTCTTTCTTTAGACTCCTATATTCCTTTATATAATATTCTTTTTTATAGTAATTATAACACTCTATATTATTTTTATCTCTAGGCTTCTTATTAAATTCTTTAGGCTTAGCCATTATATTTAATTCTATTAATATTGGTTTATATAGGTTATATTATTTATGATCTTGGTTAGCTTAGTGGTAGGTTTTTCCTCTATAATTTCCCCATCCTCTTTTCTGTCACTTTTCTATCCGTTTCTTATATAAGTGGTTATTGAGTTTGACTGCTATGTCAATTATATTAATTAGTGTGTTAGGTCGTTTTAGAATTCTTATGATCTTATCTTTGATTTTATTCTTTAGGCCTTGGTAGAATTGATCTGCTTTAGCTTCATTATCCCATCCTAGATGAGAACTGATCTGGTGAAATTGTGAGGCATAGTCTAATACTAATATAACTTATTATAATTATTATATTTTTTAAGCTATTAAGTTCTGCTTATCTATTTCTTTAAATATTGATTTGATCTTTCTAATAAATATTCTATAGTTAATAAATATTTTATTAACTTTATTGTCTTGTTTATCTTCTATTTTATTAAACTATGCTCTTATATATAGTTTAAACTAATCTATCACATTCTCTTCTAAGAAGATGGAGATAGCTAGAACTTTATCTACTTCTCCTATAAGTAGATGAATATTAGCTATAAAGTAAAGCTACATTTGTATTAAGAAGGATTATAGACTCTTATGATCTTCTTTAAATGGTATTAGCTTATTAATTTTAAGTTAAAGTCTTGAAGCTTAAGTAGCTTCTAATTTAATAATTCTAGTTTTTATTACTATTATTTTTTAAGTTATTAAGGCTTTATTATTTATAATATTTTTAGTTAGTATTTCTTCTACTATATTAGATAATTTACTTCCTTAAGTAATATTTTTCTAATATAATAATATTCTTTTATTTAATAGTATTTTATTTCTAGTATATCTTAGAGTTAAGATAATAGCTCTTTTATTATAGATCTAGATCTATCTTAGTTAAATAATATTATATTAAAGTATACTAGGCTTTATTAAATTATATAAAGATTTAAGATTAAATATTAATATAATAAGCTAAGTGAATAGAATAATAATAGTTAATTAAAAGTAGAAATCTTAATATAATTAAGATAGAAGAGATCCTTTATATAGCTTAGTACTTATATAAATATAAATGCTTTACTAACTCTTATTATTATATTTAAGTGACTTATGTTAAAAAGCTATAAAGAATAATTAAATATATAATAAATAAGTATATTTATATAGATCTCTTTAGTATATACTTTAGTATACATGTCTCTAGAAGTGTATACTTTGTATATATTTTCTGATGTTTTTTTGTGTACATCTTAGTATATACTTCATATTATATATTCCTGATTAGTCATCTTTAAGTTCATATCTTTAGCTAACCGCCCGTGTACCTAGTCATAGAAATGACTAGATATGGTGTTAGCTGCTATAACAAACACCTTCCCTTAATAGTACTAGATTCTGCCTAGTATCATGCAAGTTGGTTTCGTAACACCGTATTCGTATTTTGCAAATAGGGTGGAGACCTGCAGGGCTGAGCTTAGAAAGTTTGAACAGCCTTTGGAGCCCCACATGATGTGGATCAGGTAAAAGCGCAAGCAAAGCCCGGATCTGCAAAGACAACCTGGCCAAGCATCATGTATCCATTCGTTACCTTCTAAAAAAAATCGCACCATTTGAATCAGAAAGCTATGATCATTCTCTATGTTTTGATTGGTAGAACATCTCCCCCCAATGCATGGGCTTGCCTCTTCAGGACTGCAGATAAGGCGATTTTCGCATTCGTATCAAATAGTGGCGTTGATGGACTCTGCAGAGTTCTCACTAGAACCAGAAACAGCATTCAGCAGGGTATAGAATGGCCCGTCAAGCTTCATTCACTCTTGCGTCCCTTCGACGACATTATTATACACTTGATCCAAGTCCCACTTCTTATCTTGCGACAATCTTTCCCGTGCCTCTTCGAACATTTGCAAGCAGATCATGGCGCAATTCGACCTGCCTAGCAGAGCTGACTGTGAAAATCAAAACATATCTCTAGACCTAGAGAACAAGATAATCAGATCACATGTCGAGGTAAGCAGCATCCTTGATATCTGCATCTACTGAAATTCCGTATGAAGCGAGCTCACATTCATTGATGGGATAGCTCCGTACAAGCAGTGCTTCCCCTGAACATGTCCCAACAGCAACCCATCAGAGAGATTGGCTTACTCAGGTATGGTGTTGGATAACAACCCCGAAAGGATTCTTCATCGCCATCTATGGATTGAACATAGTCGCCTGGGGGGGAATGCTATTCCTGCTGATCTGCAATGCCGCCCCAGCTATGTGCCACCCGTCCTGCAACGATCTATACTCCTCCCGTAAGATCTGGATCGAGATCACCTCCCAAATTCTGAACGGGCTATTCTGCTTGACAGGATTCGGACTCACGCCGTGGCGCTTCCGGGATCTGTACTGGTGGTGCTGCTGGCGGCTCGCGTGGAAAAACCGAGAGAAGAGCCTCGCGGGCATCGCGCGCTTGGCTAGTATTCACCAAGCGTGTTATCGCTTATCAATTGTTGTGTCATGTGTTGACTGTGTTGGGGACTGTCGCTGCGAGCGAAACATACATGCTACAAAGGCCCTTGACCCCTCGATAACTGAGGCCCTCACACCGGCGACGGCGCCTTGGAAAATGGATTGTGTGGTCTGGTGCAACATGTGGAATACTATATTCCAGGGATGCCTGGCTGGCTGCATGTGGGGGATGAATAGATTCAACCGGCCTAGTTGGACGACAGGCGTATTCGTTGCCTTGGCCTGCGTTGTGGCTGGAATTGCGGGGTATCTGGTCTTCCGCGAGACGAGGAGGCTTGCGAGATCAACCGAGACGAAAACGACCGATAGTTCTTTTGCAGAGAAAGGGGAGAATGGCGTCTAAACTTGCCGTATGTTACGCCTGATCCTGGGCTATTGCTGTATGTAGTTTAATTCTTCCATTCGCTGTGTCTTCATGTCATCATTACTACTGTAGCGGAACGATGTCGAAGACCTACCTAGTAATGATAACGTTAGGTATAAACCTCCGTTGAAGAGAGCAGGAAGCAAAGGAGGTTAGCAGTGGATAGCTCGGGTGGAAAAGAAGGTTGATATTAATTGTGCTTGTTTGTGCTTGATCACTGTACAAGGTTACCGAAAATCATGACTCCGCTGTAGACCATTCAACCTTCTCTTACCCTTCGATAGTCCTCGAAATCCAGTAACAATTTGGTTCCTGTACGTGTTCGTATATTGATTGCTCTCTAACATCCGTACACCTTCACTACAGCCATCCTTGACAGTTAACATCCTCGTCATCGAATGAATTTGATGCGTGCAACCTCTTCGCAATATCCGCGCCAGTGTATCTCAAAACGCCAAATGTGGCGCGATCAGCTTTAGACACCTAATTCGACATACCCTTGACGATTCCTTTAGTCACACCCTTGGCTGCATCCTGCTGCATCCCTCGGTATGGCCTGACGACTATGTAACTAACTGCCTCAGCCATCTCCCACACGAATCCTCTTCCCGCGGCAGCAAAGCCGCTCTTGCCACCTTTCTCCTTTCGAAGTTCTTTGACGTGTATCCGACAGATGAAGTGGTTGTGGGCCTGTGGGAGGTCGATGGGATCCTATCACGGGCTGAGCGTCTACTGCGATGCGCACCACCACCCAATTCACTAATTCACTTTCGGAACATTTTACAACCTTGTTCAGGGGCATCAGATTTACCACGTGGGTCGCAAGGACCAGTGCACGAGGAGTATAACTAGTTAGGCGAGTTTTGATCAGTATGAGGTCAATAGGATGTCTATAAGTCTATCAGTTGCTGAGAGCATCAAGAAATGTGGGGTCGTTCAATGTACAAGGTAAAAATATTCTTGTCGATCAACCCGTCCCGTTCGCAACTAAAGTCTCTGCGGCGAACTTTCAAGGCTTGAGCTTTTTTCCAGACTTGGACACGGATATGGACCACACGGCAAGCTGGGATGGGTATAGATCGCAATTTGGACACTCGAGAGGAAGGTTATACTAGAATGACGAGAACGTAGCGCAAACATGACCCCGAGCTCATTTTTTGCGAAATGGTCGAGGCCGTGGCCACTGCTTGTTCGCTAAGGATCTACTCTATTGCACAGATGGACAGCCGTTGCTACTGCCAAGTCGACACAGACCTGTTGAACGGCTGGAGCGCTAATCCCAACACAGATTTCACCTTAGAGCCGAGGATACCACCAAGCGCTGGACAGTGATAAACTTATGATTTGGAGTAATATCGGCTTCAAATTCGACATTGTGAACTGTCATTCAGCAATAAATTAGCATTAACCCAACAGCGCAGGGTTAATGGAAAAACAGAGATTTGAAACTGCAGGGAAACACGTTATCCAGATTACATAAGAGTTTATTGAGAACACTAACTAGTCAGTTAACCTAAGTTAATTATAGAAACGATTTATTCAGCACCTACAGTAACTCGTATACTATTTTATACGGTGCTCGAGTTGATGCATGTTCAAGAAGATCTACGTATCTACAATACAGAGCTTGGTTACCTCGTATTCGTACAGATCGAAACCGAATCCACAATTTCTATCCACTCCGCTCCACTACACTATGTCCTCGGCAAATCAGGAGTCCAACCAAAAAAAAGCATTGTACTATGTCAACTTTTAGTCTCCACGACGCAACTCATTCAAAGTTTATGCTTGTCGTCGGGAAGAGGCAGTCTGGTTCAGTATATTATTTAGCTACTCCTGACCCAAGATGACTCAGTCCAACATCATTGAAATATCAACGGCTACCTAGAAGGCTGCCTTTCTGAGCTGGAGATTTATCACAATCCATTGCTACTACTCAGACAGCATGGTGAGAGGGAAAGAAAAGGAGGATCAAAATAGCGCAGAACTACCATTCCAAGGGAATCCTTCTAAACCGGGTGCCTGGGATGATGATTTGGATCCTCCACCTGACATTGACTGGGACGAGCCACCCGTCTACGAGTTAGTCGGATCGGGGAACAGAGCGTCAACGACAGTTTTTGCTCAAGGCGAGTCAAGGCAGATCTAGGAAGAAATTGATTTTACTAACTTCAACCTGCCTCCAGATGATGGACGAGCCGCGATTAGTCTCCTCAGTGCAAAAAGATTATCGATTTCGACGCCCTCTCAACCGAAGCCTTACACGATACCAAATATTATCAACTCCAAATCTCCACGTTTGAATATCGTGATTCAAATTGTCGGTAGTAGAGGTATGTAGGTCGTATATGTTTTCTGGATCCGTACTGGAAAGCTCACGGGTCTTTTTAAGGAGATGTGCAACCGTTTTTGGCCCTTGGACGAGAGCTACAAATTGAAGGACATCGAGTAAGGATCGCTACCCACGATGTTTTTCGAGACTTTGTTACCGAAGCCGGCTTTGAGTTCTTTCCCATCGGTGGAGATCCATCATCCCTTATGGCTGTGCGTAGATGGTCCTTGATTGTGATTCTTCATTTACTAATTGCTTTCGTTAGTACATGGTCAAGAATCCCGGCATCGTTCCAAAATTCCAAACTATCATGAGTGGCGAAATTTCAGAAAAGCGAAGGATGGTGTACAGAATGCTAGAGGGCTGCTGGAGGTCGTGTATTGAGCCGGACCCCGAGAACAATATCCCATTTGTCGCGGAGGCCATTATCGCGAATCCGCCAAGTTTTGCCCATGTGCATTGCGCACAAGCCATGGGAATTCCCGTTCACCTCATGTTCACCATGCCTTGGAGCCCTACAAAAGCATTTCCTCATCCCCTGGCAAACATTGAGCGGACAGATGCAGATCTAATGACAACGAACTATTTGTCCTATGGTTTAGTTGAACTACTGACGTGGCAAGGGTAAAGATCTTTTTCATATTAAGATGTGGCTTTCGGTATTTTCGCTGACGACGCGCCAGTCTTTCCAGCGTTATTAATGGATGGCGCCGAAAGTCGCTAGGCCTAGATCCGGTGCCAACATTGACGGGGCCCTCGATCGCTGAGGCCTTACAGATACCTTTCACCTACTGTTGGTCCCCAGCCTTTGTGGCAAAGCCTCAAGATTGGGGTAACTATATTGGTGAGTTGTATTGTTACTTCTTTTTTCCCCCTTCCTTAGCCTCTCTGAGGAAAATATTATGGACAACATACTGACTTGCAAAAGATGTGTGTGGTTTCTTCTTTAGGGAAGAGCCAGCCTATACGCCTGTCGATGAGCTGCGTGATTTCCTCAGCAGTGGCCCGCCACCAGTATACATTGGATTCGGTAGTATTGTCATGGATGATGCAGAAGAAATGACTGCTATACTGCTAGGCGCAATTAGAGCGTGTGGTGTACGGGCCATAATATCCCGTGGGTGGAGTAAGCTTGGTTCCGGCCAGCAAGATCCAAATGTGATGTTTTTGGGCGACTGCCCACATGGTATAAAGTTCTGCTTTCATAACTATAAGAGGACCAGAGCTGATTTAAATTAAGAATGGCTCTTCAAGCACGTATCATGTGTTGTGCATCACGGTGGAGCTGGTACCACTGCGTGTGGACTCCTCAATGGACGGCCGACCATTATAGTTCCTTTCTTTGGCGAGTAAGTACTCAGCTCTTACTTTAATGACAAGACACCCTTTTTACGAAGCGTATCACCAAAGATCAAGAACCAGTTTCGCTTGAGCCATGAGCTAGCTAACTTTCAATATTTCATAGCCAAGCGTTCTGGGGCCAGATGATTGCTGCTAACCAGGCCGGTCCATCTCCTATTCACCATAAATCCTTGAACGAAAACAATCTAGCAGAAGCTATTCGGTATTGCCTAACGCCAAAAGCCAAAAATGCAGCTGCAGCAATCTCTCGGAAAATGAAGGCAGAAAATGGAGTTCGGGCTGCGTCGCGTTCATTCCATTGCAATTTACCTGTGGAAGCCTTGCGATGCGATCTACTCCCAGATGAACCGGCTGTTTGGCTGTATACCAAGACTAAGAAAAAAGAACCCCTCAAACTGTCTGACAAGGCTGCCTTTATCTTGACCGAGAAGAACAAGATTGAAGCTCAACATTTTAAGCTGTGGGTTGTCCTAAAAAAAGCACCTTTGACCGTCAGAGTGTGACCCGCTCACGTGTTCAACATTAGCTATCAACCCAAACCCATAATAATAGAGAACCAACGCTGGGACCCTGTGAGCGCCGGCAGTTCCGTTCTTTTAGGAATTTTGTTTGACTTTACAGTCGGCTTCAGTCAAGTATTTATAGGCCCCGCTAAGGTCTTCCAAAGCAAAGATGAAGGGGGAGGGAAGAAAGAAGCAGCAGTCACCTTTGGAAAAGGATTTGGCAAGATGGCAGGTGTCCTTCCCAAGGCTACTCTTGTTGATTTTCCTTTGGCGATAACTGAAGGCCTGCATCATTTGCCACGACTGTACGGCGATGAAGTGCGAAATCACGGTCAAGTCAAGGACTGGAAAAGTGGCTGTGGTGTCGCTGGAAAGGTACATTATGAGCACATTTCTTGTCGGCTAAATCAGGCTCGCACTGATGATTTCTGAAATCTAGACATTAGGGTACGGCTTCGTGGACGGACTCCTTGGGACTGTCACCAAGCCTTATGAAGGAGCAAGAGAGGGCGGCTGGGCAGGTTTTGGAAAGGGACTTGGAAAGGGAGCCATGGGACTTGTCACAGGACCGGGTGCAGGTTTGTTCTTGCCCTCGGAATACGTCCCATATACGAGAAATCCTTAATACAAGCTATTGGGAAGACTCGATTGATAAAATTGAGACTAACTTCCCTTCTATAGGTATGTTTGGCTTGTTTGCTTACCCCTTCCTTGGAATGTACAAGTCAATCAGCACTTCCTCACTGTCCCCATCACAAAGGAAGATCTTGCTCGCACGGCAAGTCTATGGCTCSTACATGGCTCGGCAGCGAGAGTACGCCGCGCAAGATGGAGGACAAGAACGGGATGAAGCAACTCAGAATATCGCTCTTGAAGCATTCGAAAGAAGCTTCAAACGAGGCTGAAATACTGGAAGTGCTGAAATTAGGTTCTTAAGAATGTTATGCAAGACGTATGCAAATTACGTTGGTAAATAGGCAATCTTTAATCTTAGGTCTATTTCTAGAGTTCTCCAACCCCTTTCACCGGCTTTCATTCTAGCAGAATTCGATATGATAAGCTGTCATCTCGTAAACTTATTCTACTAATCTAGTACATAGAGCATCAGCGATATGCATATGTATACAGCTTTATCCCGCAAGGCGTATATATGTGCTCCCATCGACTTTAGTATCATGCATCTGTTGAGCCCTGACCTTATATCTTTCGTACATAGTCATGTATACGCGTATAATGACTAAACGTGGTATTAGCTACCGCTTTAATATAACACCATTCTCCTATACTAGATTCAAGCTCTATGCAACTTTAATACGCAATAATTTGCATTTACATTTCGGGTCTAGTCAGGAATAAACGTGGACCTTCCCCTTTCATATACACCTGTATGCGCGGTGAGAATCTCGCTTCAACCTTAACGGTCAGTAATCTCAAGGACCTGTAAACTGATTCTGGGTACCGCTATAACGTGTTAGCACTTTCGTAATATATGAGTGCTATCACAACCCCCATTTTCGAATCAAAAGGGCTTGCTCGAGTAAGAATTCGTCACCCATCTCTCACACCAACCTACTGTTTGCCGCTATTGGTGCCTAGGTACATTCTACGATATGTTGCAAGGATTTGAGTGGAGTTGTTGGTAAATCAACAAAGACTACTTCCTTCAACTTCTTGCGAGCTTTTCGTAAAATGCTGGCTTCTCTGCCCCTAAAATCGCCTAACATTTTCATATCCAGTTGGCTGCCTCCTTTCTCCAGGACTATGTAACGTATTGTCGGCCTTGTTCCGGGTTTAGCAGATCTGGTTTGAAAGTAAAATAGAAAATGTCTAATGCATAGACCTCAGCCAAATTGTAGCTGCAGCATCCTGCCCCTTAGTCACTAAGTAGGTGGAAGGACGTGGCGTAGCCATATTTGTTCCCGTACCACTACTCGAACCTGGTCCTGCCATCTACGTGATACTCTTCCAGAGAGAACTGTACACGCATGTAATGTTCGTAGCGAGAATACTGGTATGCGACAGTGGCCGATGAATATTTTAATCAAAGATAGAGACATGAAGCTGTCGAAGGTAGAAGAGCCCACTATTTACCCTCTTGAATCTCAAAAGGATTGTCCACCATTGAGGGAGAAATGGACTTTCCTGTTTCATAGTGGTGGCTGAGTGACTGGAGTGGCCCAGCAAGCCAGCAAGCCAGCACTAGTTCTCTAGCACCTTACTAGGTGTTTCGCAGAAATCAAAACTTGTCATTGTTCCATGTGAGCGGGGGTAGCCGGTTCTGCTAACTAGATCATGGATACCATAGCCCAGCTCATGGAACAGTGTCACCACGTCAGAATGTTGAAGAAGATATGGCTTAGTTCCAGCGGATGTAGTAAAGCTACATAAAGGAACAGTCGATGAATAACTCTGGTCGCCGTTTTGAAATTCGAATCCCTAATAGTCTTTTGGTTAGTTGAACAAAAGTAATTTCGTTGATAGCTATCAGAACTTACTGGTTGAAGATTAATGTTGCATGGATGGCTATGMTTTCCGTCACAAGCGTAGAGGTCAAGATAGAGATATCCTACAAATTCACCACCCTCATCATCATCATCATCATCCAAAACGTGGATGATGCGTACGCTCGGATGCCACGGTAGGTCTCTGATTGCTGATACCTACTTCGAAGAAGATAAGCCCCAAAAAATTAGAGAAAATATCAATCGTACCCTCGATTGTCTTGTGAAGAGGAAAGCGCTCAGCAATTTCCCGATGATCTATTTAATATTGCTTTTTCAAGAACAGGCGGTTATAGTATCGATGGTCCCATATGTAGTGTTGTACCCCTCCCATATCAGCGATTTTCAATGCTTTCAGTCGCTTAATCTCGCAGCTAACTTGAGTCGCAAATAATTCAGAAACGAGTTTGCTTTTTATCAGGGAAGTCACCACTCTATCCTTGATAAGCCGCATAGTTGGCGTATCTAGGCAATCGAGCAGCCTCGTCGCGCAGGATTTTATAAAGGCAATTCTGAGATGTCCGTCGCCACCATGTCTTGAGCTATAGCCTTTGAAATTACATAGAGACCCTAATTTTATAATTATTGAAGCATTTTTATACCAGTACTGAAGAAGCAGAGAGAAAATGTAGGATAAAAATTACTTGTTTGGTCTATCTATCTAACATCTCTGTGGTCGATTCCTGTCCCTTAGAAAAAGAATACAAGAACGCTATACAAGCCCCTGACTTTGATTCTTTCATTCTCTGTATCAATAAATGCCGCAAAATGGTGCGTCAAATTGTACATCAAATAGTGTTGTAAATGACCCCGATTTTGTGTCAAATAGATTCACTCGCTGTATTTATCTTGAGCGTTGTGGTAAAAAATATGGCCAACAAACATATTGGGTTAGGGTTGGTTTAGGGTTCAATTTACAGCATGTCAAAATCGACGTATGTAGTGTAGCTTAATTAATTCGTTTTGTTAGAGGGGATCGTCGATTGCAAAATTTTCTAATGGTAGGGGTGTTCCGCATAAGCAGGGACTACGTCATGTTTACGAGGAGATGCCATAAAGAAGTCAATCAGTGATGCTTATAGCCATACCAGGAAGAAATCGGCCAATACGGGGACTTCCATGTCTTTATTCATCGTGACGTTGTGAACTGTGGAGTCCGCAAACTGCTACTACATCAACGCCGACGAGCATATGAAATCACATCACTACTTTTTCTTGCGATAATTCCTGAGACTAAGGAAAAATTTGTTGAAAATAGCCCAAATCAAAATATTACAATGTCGACTATGAAACAATGGGTGGTGGAAAGTAAGGACAAGGATTTTGACGGCTTGGTCTATCAAGATGCGCCGGTGCCGAAAGTTGGTGAGAGCGAGGTTCTGGTCAAGATTCAAGCTGCTTCGCTTAACTATCGTGACTTGATCATTCCTAAGGCATGTCATCTGCTCAATTACGACAAACGCAAATCCCTTCAAACACCCATCAGCAATATCTAATCATCGTGTTGTAGGGCCAATACCCGTTCCCGACTAAATTCCCCGTTGTTCCCGCTTCCGACGGGGCCGGCGAGGTTGTTGAGGTCGGTTCTAAGGTGACTGAATTTAAGAAGGGTGATAAGGTGGCGACTCTTTTCAACCAAGGGCACCAGTATGGCGATATCGATATTCCGGCGACACTAACCGGTTTGGGTGGCGTAATTGATGGTGTTCTCCGTGAATATGGTATATTTGACGAGAAGGGACTAGTAAAGGCTGCTAGGAACCTCAGTCCCATCGAGAATAGCACCCTATCGTGTGCAGCTCTGACGAGTTGGAACGCACTTTATGGTCTAAAGCCATTGAAGCCTGGTCAGACGGTTCTGGTCCAAGGAACTGGAGGGGTCAGCATCTTCGCCTTGCAGGTACGTCTTGATACTTTAAAAGTTATGGTCATGTTGATCGCTAATGCCTTCTTGTGCGATAGTTTGCGAAAGCTGCCGGTGCTACTGTGATTGCAACCACATCCGCCGACCAGAAGGGCGATAAACTGAAAAAGCTCGGGGCCGACCATGTTATCAACTACAAGACCGATCCAAAGTGGGGTGAAACGGCTCGCAAGCTGACTCCAGATGGCGCAGGTGTGGACCATGTTATTGAAGTTGGCGGGCCCGGAACAATGAGAGAGCTTCAACTGCATCAAGTTCGAGGGTATCATCAGCGTGATCGGTTTCCTGGGTGGCGTGAAGCATCAAGATCAGCCGGCGATTTTAGAAACATTGAGCAACATTTGTACCGTCCGTGGTGTCTATGTAGGTTCCAAAGCACTGATGCGGGACATGATCCGCGCTATCGAGGCCAACGACATCCACCCGGTTGTGGATGAGAAAGTCTTTGCTCTTGAACAGGCCCGGGCGGCATATGAGTACATGGTAAGTGAACTAGATACCCTTGCATCCTGGTCGTATATTAATCAAGTCGTTTAGTGGGCACAAAAGCATTTTGGAAAGTTGTCCATCAAGGTCAACTAAGGGACGTCATATTCCCCTTGATATCCATGAACACTGGCTGAATGGCACGAGCTATGTTTAGTTAGTAGGGACGATTTTCAGCCTTCAATTTAATAAAGATTGAGTACATAATAGTAGTATTAATATCTGCTTACTACCTAAGCTTACAGGCATTATGAAAGTTATAATACTATTATAATAAGTGTATGCTATATACGTAAGCTACTAAGAATGTAAATCTTATAAAAAAATAAATTAAAATAATCTCATACTAGTTCTGCATTTATTTAATACCTACTGTAATAAATTCTTGTATTATTTCTTGACTTTGATGTCTCAATTGTCAGTATAGGAACTAAGTATATAGAGGAAGGCGAAAAAGAAAATCTATCTAGCTTGCTCACTAGTCACTACAGCCCTATATCGTGTATAGAGCCCCATGGCAGTGCCTAATATAGAAGGCAAAGGATCTAAATAAATTCCCGTTGCTAGGTCCTAGGGCTTCCAGCGCACTGCCCACGACGGCACCGTCACGTGTAGTAGAGCAATGAGGCATGCCGCATGCGCAACCGTCACATATATCGTAGCTTAGTTTTGAGAGCATTCAAAATTTCCAGCGCACATTCAATGCTTGTGCCTGGATTTGCCCATGGTTTCAATCGTTCAAGAGCAATTGCTTGTAGCTCTGAAATATCCGTAACAAGGTGTCGGAGCATGGGGGACACTGCTGCGAGGGAAAGTAATAAGATTGCCCCAAAGCAACTGAACAACAACAAGGTCAGTAAGTGGTCGCTAGGTACAGGGGTAATCATATTTTGCAACCTACGTATGCAATGCGCTGTACGTGTACGGTGTGTATTCTGACAACAATTTCCCCGACGCGAGAAGGAAGGACCGACAGCTGGAAAGACATAACTGGCAATTATCCAAGACAGTCTGAGAAACATTCACAAGCTGATCCGGAGACAGCGATGTCACATATGCCACAAAGGGGCGGAAAATGATATCCTTAGTCGACCAATAGCGTAGTCGGAGAACATAGGCTTGCGGGTTTGCATCCTCATTGTTGGATCGTAAGCCAGATCTAATGATAGCTGGTATTGACTCATGCCAGATTTGCAGCTGTCGATTCAGTTCGGTGCATACTGTGATGAGAGAGCTGTCCAGTTCATCAATGCTGAAGTTTGAGGAATATATAGAATAATACACCCGGTTGAGTAGCAGGCGCATTGAGATATCGGTCATAAAAGCAAGGTTCACTGGATTTGGGGCGCGCCCAAAGCCTGGAAACGGCATTTTATCGACCACCTGCTCGATACCGCTGCGAGGTAGATGGAATTCAGAGAGCAAATCAATTTAGGGAGTTTAGCACGTTGCAACCTGAAATGAGTCCATCAAAATCTTACCTCTCTATCAGAAAACAGGACCATGCAGCCCGGGCAAGCTCATCGGCTTCAGGCTGATGAGGCAAGATGTTGCGAAAGCTTACCAAAAAGAAATAATCAGACAGTGCCATGTTATGATGCCTGTTATGAATCGTAATACAACGTACCTGATCAATAGCTGCTGCACGGTTGTTGATGCCATGTGTATAATCTTCCAGGCTCTTAGAGGCTGTGATATGTAGCACAAGTACAGAGCGCACAGTACCAAGCCTTGGGCCAATGTAACATCCCCGCAAAAGCATGATGTCCATGATATTGTAAGAATATGCACTGCTGGTTCAAAGAATTGCATGCCAGGTACATTCTCTTCAGAGTCATCGTCCCTCTTTATGGACTTCCCGCCGATTGTCCCAAGAGCAAAGACCAGAAGCTTAACCGCGCGTTCATTGGGTAGAGTTTCGACATTAGAATTTACATTAGACGTGTAGCGTTGGACATAGGCGGCCTCATCAAGGAAAGGGTTGACTAGATAAACTGATTGGAAAAACCTATTGATTAGCAGCGATGAGGTTTCTGCATCCACTTGAGGTACCTCCAAATTGTCCTCTATAGGGTTAAATGTTTGTGTGCGAGGAAGTCGACGACGGGATTCGACTCGAAAAAAGAAATCTTCAGGGTACTGGCCAATTAACGCCTGAATCTGTGGAAGCATCAACAGGCTGTCATTGCTGCATCGGTGTCCAAGGGGAATGGTTAGTGGTGGAAGAGCACTGTCATCATCGACGCTCGTTTGAACTCCGCCTCCTTGCGGCGGAATAGTCGAAGACGGGAACGTCGAGGGCATAGGAAATTGAGAATCGGCTGGCTGCGACCCGACATCCAGACCATCGTGCGTCGCACCAGACGAGCGCGCGGCATCCTCCGCCTGATTGTCCTTTGCGGGATTTTGGAAGGGCGTTTGAATAGTGGGATTGGCCCCATTGGCAGCTTTGCTTTGCCCGACTGTTACCAACCTCGCTCGCGAGCTACGAATCTGATGTCAGCAATAGGCTCGTGTAGTCACTCAAAAGTCACCTGGCTTCCTAATTGTTAGTATCTCTGTGCTACCAACATTTGTCCGATTGCAGAATAAGAACACGTCATGCGCCTGCGAGCACATCCCCTACATGGGGTTTGGCCGTCGCATTTACGCTTTCTGCAGGCAGGGCTGTGGGTCAGTGGAACACAATCATACAATGTCAAGTCAAGCCTATCAGCAGACTTACCTGGAACGACAGTAGTCGCAGGCGATAGTCGAACGTTTACTGGGGCAATCCATCGCCTGTGCTCATGCGAGTCAACTCGATGAGGACTGTACGGTGTGGTGACCTGTGGTAACTGAAAGGAAAGTTGCAGGTGCAAGGGCGGCCCGCCTCGACAGTGACACAGAAAGGGACATCCCGCCGCTAGTTAGATCATGATGGGTTATTCCGATGCGGGCCGCCCTTTCTAGTATTGCCACCGGTCAATATGAGAGGCTTTGACGTCCTGCTATATCAAATGTCTTACGCACCGAAGAGCACAAAAAAATTTATCTATTCTTTTAGGTTACAAAGAACAGATGCTGTGGCTAGAATTGAGGTGCGAAGCTGACATATATAAATACCTTAACCTCGAAGACCTAGGTGCTTGACGACCCTCACGAGTCACGCCTACCCATCAGCCGTCCTGGTTTACCCGACAAACACCGAATCACACGATAGACTGAGAAAATTGGCTTCACAAGGTGCTTCATGGCTAAAGTCAATCATTTAGATGCGGTTGCCGTCGTGGCGTTGCTATTCCAGGCCTATTTGGAGGTGAGTAAAAAATGGACTAGTCTTTGTTTACAATTTTCACTCTAAAATCATCTATCACTCATTGCATTGCACTGACGTAACTAATACGCCGAAGCAGGGCTTCTATCTTGGTTCTGCATTTATCTCCAGCTTCTACGTGGATAAGGATTGTGACACAGGGCTTTGTCCTGTCTCCTATGCATCGACTCTACTTTACTCGTTAGTACCTTATTTTTTTGATACAATGGCAAAATCTGTCCACCTACCCGTCACTGCTTCTAAAGGCGATGGAAGTCGGATATACTGCGATAACCCTAGCTAATATGTGCTTCGTGTATATATGTTGACAACCATGCTGTCATTCCTCGCGGGCGATCGACTAGGTGATCTGTACGGAGTCAAAAAGACATACCAGATAGGTTTATGGTGGTCGATATCTTGCATCCTCTTCTTTGAAAGTGGGAGTCTCAAGGAAGTCGCTCCGGCTCATGTCTACCTCAGTCTTGCGTCCATTGGAGGCAGTATTGCGATATCTAATGGCTTAAGTCTGTTGAATGTTTATCTTCCTTCGGCAGCCAGCGCTCTCTTGGCCGGTGGCACCAGTATGGTGGGCGCCCGTAGTGGAGGGATATTTGCATTTCAAATATCGCAATTTGACACAGGGGTATTATTTTGGAGGTACATTCAGTTATCGAGTGAGAAAAAGGAAGTAGACTTCTAACAAAACTTATGCGTAGCCTGATGATGAGTATTGCTGCTCTGTATATCGTCAAACAATATGTCCCGGATGACCACAAAGGTATTTCAAACCCCAAAAACACGGACTACTTTGGGATAGTTGCTGGGGCAGTCGGTCTAATACTTCTCTCTTTACCTCCTCGGTTCGTGAAAGGACATCCTCATCGAAAAAGATTGGTTCGCTAACCTCCAGAAAGGTTTCTGAAACAAGGCCCATTTTTGGATCGTTCCAATGTCGCCATTCTTGGTGCCCTGCTGGTTTATTGGTTTCTATATGCGATTATAGAAATTAGAAAACCCGTAGAAAAGGCACTGTGGCCGAGAGCATTATGGGGCGAGATTGTGTTATACAGCGTCCTAATCCTAGCGAGTGCGCATACGGTCCTTCAGTCCAAGTTTATATGAATACTGTCTAAGCCTCATATCTGTTACTCTTTATGGTCGAATTAGATTAATTTTATTTATCTAAAGGTGCTATTCAAACACTACCGTCCCTCACCGCCTGATACCTAGGTAACCCTATCTGATGCCTGATTTCAACGACCTACTATACAAAATATTTGGAAGCTTTACAACACCACATAATAAACACCGCACAATAATGGAATGCAATAAATTTAAGGTACAGCACTAAATGAGATACAAGCAATTGAATGAGCCAAAAAACCAATCGCGAAAACGCGCAGGGGGGCCCGTACCGTGCGGCCTCTACGATTCGTATTAATAACCACCCCATTATCCTCTGAATGAGCCTAAGGATGCGCTTGCCTGCAGACTTGCTTTTTCAGCCCTTTTGAGGCCTTGAGAGTTGATATAAAGTCTTTTCTGAAGCTGTAGATCAGCTACCTTAGCTAGTTCTTGCTCGTCCTTGAGGCGTTGCTTTGCCGCAGCCTCTTGCTCGCGCTGTTCGCGTTTTTCTTGCCGGATTCGAGCCTTGTGTTTCAACGGACCCCTCCACATCAATGGCAAGAGAAACCCGGTTGGACGGCAGAAATGGTACCGCTTCAATCAGATTGCGTCGGAGATTTTCAAGGAGGATGTTGTTTGGCAGTGAAGTCAAACAACCACGAAGATACTCACTCTATGCTTTCTCTCAGTGTCTTCTACTTGCAGGATGACATCTGACCTTAATCAGCCAATGTATGCTCCCAGAGTGATGAGTAAGCTACATGTAAATTGACTCGTAATTTGCAAACCACCCGCCCATTATTACGGACCTAGATCCACCTTAATTAAAACAGCGTTGTGTTAAGGTATACTAGACTTGGTTAAACCATACGAAGATTTCGAGGATATTATCAATAGAGTAAGCTAAGTAAATAGAATAATAATAATGAATCTAGTATAGAGAAGTCTTAATATAGCTAAAATAGAAAAGATCTTTTGTATAGTTTAGTATCTATATAAGTATAAATACCTTACTAACTCTTATTATTATATTCAAATAACTTCTATTAAGGAGTTATAAAGAATAACTAAATACATTTATGTAGATCTTTTTTAATATAGACCTTATATTATATGCTTTCCTATTAGTTATTCTTAAACCTATATCTTTCGCTGACTGCCTATGTACCAAGTTGTAGAAATAATTAGCTATGGTGTTAGCTGCTATAATCAAATGCCTTTCATCAACAGTACTAGATTCTGCCTATTATCATGCAAGTTGGTTTCGTAACAGCAGCTAGTGAAAGGATTTTTAGGGCGGGACAGTGGATGACTACTTCCGTGGCGGGAGATACAATACCAAGACATATGTGGTCCCATATACCGCTATATTAATCTAACAATTAATAGACTTTCCCTAAGAAAGAAAAGATTTTCTAACATTTCCAAGCAAGAGCGGAAGCAATCCGGCTTTGTTTATTTGCAGTTCTCACTTCAATTTACTCCGTACAGTAAGGGGCAGCCGTCTTTTCTTGCACAAGATTCAATTAATAGACTTTCCCTTAAGAAAGAAAAGATATTCCTACATTTCTAAGCAAGAGCGGAAGCAATCCGGCCAGTTAGTAAGGGGCAGCAGTCTTTGCGTGCACAAGATTCCCTATAGATAAAGCCAGAATCTTCGCCACGTGATCTAGTTTTACGATTTCCAACAAGTCATACAGCTGATTCAAATTATACCTGGAGCTCTAAGAACGGGAGTCGACAGCTGTTAAAAATCTTTTCAACAAGCAACCAGCCGTTTATTTTTGGCGCTCAAAACCATGCGGTTTATAGAATACTCTTTGTTTTCTCTTGCCCTGATTTCCCCAGGTCTTGCAGCAGTGTTGCCTTCTTGGAATTCGTTTCCTGGTCATGGGCCAGCAATAGACAACCGTACGTTGGACGAGATATATGCATCGGCACAGAAGGAAGGTGGAGTGCTGAATGTCCTGTCGGGGGGGGATGGTACGTATTAGCTTAGGCTACTCTCCTTGTGCAGTTCCGTTGATCTGATTTACGACAGAGATCAAGCAAGGGAATTCAACCATCACTGCGTGGGAAGCTAGATTCCCAGGCATCAAGCTGAACTTGACTGTTGATGTTTCCAAGTATCATGACAGTCGTATCGACCGTCAATTTGAGAAGACTGGTAGTGATGGCGCCGATGTCGCTATCCTGCAAACCTTGCATGACTTCAAGCGTTGGAAGGCGGCGGGCAGATTGTTGCCGTATAAACCTGCCAATTGGGAGGATATATATTCATCCCTGAAGGATCCTGGTGGTGCGTTTACCGCAATATCTATTAGTAAGTTTTACCTTTCTAGGAAGCAGGGTTAGAATGACTTATACAGGTATTCTCACCCGTACAGATCAATTTGGCGCCATAGTTTATAACAGTCAACTACTGAATGCGTCCGACATTCCAAACTCGTACGCTACATTTCTTAATCCAGCCTAGAAAGGGCAACTGGTTCTAACTTATCCAAATGACGATGACGCGGTTGCATATCTCTTCTCAACAATTATCGACAAGTACGGGTGGGAATGGTTTGAAGCACTTGCACAGCAAGATGTCCAGTGGATTCGCGGCACGGGTCAACCTTCGGATGTTGCATCTGAAGCTAATAGCAGTCATGTCCTAACATTCACTTCCAATCCGACCGGCGCTCAAAATCTCGCCACCAAAGTATTAAATGAGCCACGTTTGCTTTGGCCACAGAGTGCAGCAATTTTTGCTAGCACAACAAAGCCAGAGAGTGCCAAGCTGTTTCTGAGCTGGCTAGTGAGTGAGGAGCGTCAGCAGACTCGCGTATCTCAGGGATCGTATGTGCCCCTTAAGAGCCTCAGTCTCAACTCAACTGCTGGGCCCGTTTGGAATGATCCATATACCGGCGTATCTCAATTCGCTGTTTTCATGGACGATAGAACCACATTGGAACGTTGGCGATTCCAATTTGAGACCACCTTAGGAACCCCACAAGGTGTAAGTCCTGTCCTATCAGTTCTGGGGAGCGCACCCTAATCTTACGCCGATGGGTTGGGAGAACAAAATCCTTATAACAAGTCAACGAATAAATTTTTCTAGACAAGATTACATACTATCAACTGAGAACATCATTTTCTTAAATATCCTTTTCTCTATATTTGAGCCGGGGGCGGTCATACAAACACAACCATTTTGAGGACAGAACAACATATAGACATGTATAAGGTGCAGTTTGGTGCGGTCATATAGACCTTTATTTGACGAACCGTGCAGTTTTTGGTTCTTAAATTTAAAATCCAAGATCTACACTGACAATCAAGCGGCACTCCGGGCACGCATCTGACTAAGAATAGTGTCAAGACAATCCCATCTTCAGACAGCATTGTAAGTTCTCAACCAACGATATCACGATCAATTTCCACTGGATCCCAGGCCATGAAGCTGTTGAGAGTAATGAGGCAGTGGATAAATTAGCAAAGGAAGTTGTAGAGCAAGGATATGTACTAAATAGAGACCATATCTGTTGGCTAGTAACTAGCGGTGGCAAAGCAACGGTTACGATAAGCAGGGCAAACACGGCATAAAGACTGCGGGCAGCTCGCGCAGGGTAGTGAAAGTAGCAGAATGACAAAACACACGAAATGATATCAAAGAAGTGTGACTAAGAGTATATATAATAGCTCAGTACACATTGAATGTTGTCCCTAACAAATTATTATCATATCTACATATTTTTCATTATTAAAAAGACTTTTTATTATAATCTTAAGGTCTGAAAAGTCTATGCTATATATGTAATTGTGTAAGAGGGGTTTACAAGGGCGTAGTAGTACGGGTCCTAGATAGGGTAAGAAACTTAGGTGTATATAGCGTTCACAGTTATCTCAGCAAGCTCAGCCGCTTTTCGCATATTATGTAAGCTCGATTTCCCAAGTTACCCGTTCCGTAGTTCCGGATTTGCTCGAGCGTAGCGAAGAGCATTTGTAAGCAAGATAAATAAAAAGAATATTCGTAGTCTATTCATATAATCACTAGCCAATTAAAAAACAATATTCTCCGTACAAATAAAATATAGAGTGTAGTTTATTCTAGCCCTAGTACGCTTAATATTAAGGTTTAGATTATAATTTTATATTCTTCAGATATAGAAATCAATTTGGCATAACTCTAGTGAAGTAAATTTTTAGTTTATATAGTGATAGCTAAATAAACGAATATCGTAAGGTGTTTTCTTGGCAAATCCTTATATTAAGAAAGTCTGCCATCTAATAAGAGCAGGAGAGTGGATACATGCGCTGCGCTCGCCATAGTCAGGATAGCTGTAAAGCAAMCCTGCCACTTTTTTCAGCTTCAAGGAGCGTAAAATACCAACTGTGAGCTCCTATTGATCTATATTGATTTATTTGATGCGTTGTAAAATTTTCATGATTTTTCGCGAGTTGAGCTCAATTCTGGTATAGGTTAAGTCCATGTATCAGGCGGTGAAAGACGGCAGTGTGCATTGACCATATCTAGCTTCCGAGCTCCGCTGGGTATACCAGCCCTTGTATTTCAACATATGGGAGCAACAAAGATAATATAAAATGGCTACCAACAATACGCAGTTGGGCGCTGAAAGCAGTCACTCGCTGACTGACCAGGAGAGTGTGCATCGTGAAGTGTGCATCAACCAGACGCAAAATCGCCCTTCAATCAGGAATCGACAACGTAAACTGCTTGGTAATTTCCATTTTCAGACACCTGTCACACCTCAAAGTAAAGAGACGACTAGCAAATCCCAGCGAAACTTAACACCAAATAAAAGGCAGGAACAAACCCTACGGGCACAGCGGTAAGAATAGCATCCAAGTCTCACAAGCGGAGCAGCTGAACAAGCGTCTAGGGACCACCGGAAACGCACTCATGATTATATTAGCGCGTTGGAAGGGGAAGTGATGCGTCTGCGATCCGACAAAATGCGCTTGCAGCAAGCAGTTAACGACTGGATGCAGTGCTCTTTGACATTAATGCAGTCGTCACAGCCTTTCAATGCCCAAAGCCCGTTTGGCCCAGGAGTATTCCTGTGGGTAGTTCGTGATACTCCCGCAAACAGTGTAATGGATCCATCAGGCCAGACGCCGTTGAACGTTTGGTTGATGCAGCAGCTGATGGCTCTATCAAATCCGACTGTACTGCCTTGCCTTGATATCTGTGCCGAGCCAGTGTGTGGCTTGCTCCGGAACTGTGAGTGGTAGTCTTTGCATTTAACAATTGCACAGACAAAACTAACTCACTCTTTAAAGTTTGCGATAATATTGCCCCCAGTCTGAGTCTGACCGAAGCGTCAGGTAGTGACTATGCTAATCGCATCATTCCTCTAGCGCTAAGTGATGAAGCTGTCCAAAACTCTTTCCTTGCTGCGTCTGCGAGCCACGCACGGACTACGCGGGCCACATATAGAACCACCGATATTCTAAACTATAGATCAGCTGCCATTAAAGGCCTGCGCAAAAAATCTGCAGAAATTGCAGAAAATCTTTGCGGAACTGGAACTGCTGTTTTTACATTAGCCACGATTCTTGGGCTGTTGATCGATGACATGATCAATAGCTCAAAGGAGTATCCAATACTCATAAAATTGGTGGACTCTTGGATGAGAATGTATAGATGCAGTAGTCAAAAACAAGAGGAAAACTTGATTACATTTCTGTTGGATCAAATACAGATGTACGCCTCCCTCCTGTTTGACCATGAAAATGCTGACGAGGCTGACCCAACTAACAGGATTAAAACACTTGTGCATCCACTTTATGAGTTTAATGAATTGCAAAACTCAGCCCAGAAGATGCAAAACATGTCAGATCAGCCTAACATGGTACAGCTTAAAGCGCCTAATTTTCGCACCATATTCTCAGATATACAAAGTGCTGTGACTCAGGCCTGCGATATTCATAATATGTTTCCGGCGAAAAGCTCATCTACTGAGAGTTCGGAGTCCTCAGCTGATCTTGAGGCTTCACTAGGACGCCTTCAATCGACACTTACGAATATTCCCCGGTTCGCACCAGGGGAGAATCAGTTAATATGGGTATGCGCGACTGCTGTCTCACGAAGCTCAAGAGCGGATCAGGACGCATTTTTTACGTTGCGACTAGCAGAATTGCTATGTCGCGCTGGATACCCTGATATACCACAGAAATTAGCCCTCGCAAGATCCCAAAGCTTACCTGGCTCTGAAAGTCAATTTCTTCAAATGTGAGCTGTTTTGGCTATAAGCGAGGATATTTGCTTGAAGTACAATAACAAGGTTTAAAGACTTTTTTTTTGTCCATGATTTAGTATTACGAGAGTTTCCTGCGACAACTCGGCGCTACATTACTGGTTCAACCTATTTTTGTAACGATGTGCCCGTTGTGCAAAACTTGCATTTTTTTACACTCACTATGTAAACAAGGCTCTGGCTCGAGCAACTTCGTTGTTGCCTGGTCGTAATTTTCAACATTCTCACAATCAGTAGCAACACCATAGTTGTGAAACACTATCTAAAGCCAGATCGACGGTCGAAAATTTGAGGTAACCACATACTCGATTAAGATTGATATCGCTCATTGCAAAGAACTCGCCTTTGCTGGATATGTGTGTGAAACACTTAGATTTGAAGCTGGGAGGCTAGATACAAAGAATTTATTCAAAGTCTTTCAGGAGTTTTATGTACATTATCCACACAACGGAGTCGGGCAAACATGTATCTCATATCTATTATCCGACGAAAGCTATAATATAGAGATAGTCTCAAGTTTCATATGCAACAGTGGATTGTACGATCAATAAGATCTAGACTATAATGGTATTGCTCTCCAAAAGATTGTGGGCATCGAGGCCGTTATTCGGGGCTAGGTCGCGTGTATATGAATCTTGAAATTTCCCTTTTCAAGCTCAGGAAGCGTCTGCTTAGCAAAGTCCCTGGCCTTGAGCTAGAAGTCCTCATCGGAGCCGGAGGGTTTCGGGTTTATTTACTTAGAATATAGTTATCAATGTCTAGACGTGGAACGTTGGATATTGCGGAGAATCTCCTAAACGTCAACGATATGATTGCGCGAATCGAGGCTATACACAATCCTTATATCGTCCAATTCTTGAACAACAAGTCAATCCACTTAGTCAAACTGATGTAATAAACCACGTAATCCATTCGATATGTTGAGGTCAGGAGGGAGAAAAAGCTGCCGTTGAAGAGAGCAGATGATAGGTTTATGTTACAGCTATCCCGGATATGGTGATTGCAGCGCATAAATCCACTCAGCTGCTCTTATTAGATAGCTGTCCTTGCTTAATATACGGATTCACCAAGAAAACCTCCTTATTAAATTGGCGCGCATAGTTCTACGCTGTGTTCTCTATGGCACACGTATGCCAGTTATATTCACTCTTTTAGACACACGTGAATACAATACAATACGCGTTCCCACTCAAGTTCTCAGGAGACTAGCCAAGCAGTGAAAGGCGTATATATAGGGATCTATCGCCAAGACCTACCCGATTGAATTAGGCATTAACGGAGGTAGCGAGTGTGAGCTGAATGTGGCACACCGTCGTCGCATTTGACTTGCCTGTGCGACCACGGTGTGCCACAAACGACTTGTTTCAAGCATTTACCGGCATCGCTTCCGTGGTTGTGAGACGGGTGATTGTTGTCACTTTATCCCACCCTGCGAAAGCGAGGTACTGCTTTTACGCCAATTTCCTGTAGGACATTCTCATTTGCAGCCATGAGTGCAGCCATCGCATACGCAACAGGGATTTCAAAATTAGATCTACTGGAGAACCACATCAGCTAATGTGAAAGTCTGGAACAGGTGAATTGATGACTATTGAGTCAACACTAGCCCTGAGATGATAAATGTCTTCCTAACCAAGGTTAGCCGTTTTAGTTAGGCTGTAGTCCGTTTCTCACTGTGAAAATGCGGTCTATATATATGATTTGTAGTCTAATCAGTACAGTCAACCTTGGATATAAGCACCTAATTCAGACCGCCAAAAAATGCGCTATAACCCAGGTGATGCTATATATCGAGTGCCATACAAAGAATATATATATCTCCATGTTCACGTATATCAACCATATATTTTGCACCCCCCAACCCCAATTTAACGATTTTGACGACGACAATTTGCTCTAATCTAGTAGGCCTTATATCTCAGCGTCAAATTCTCTAGAATTAACGAGGCCCCACAACACAGTCAGCTATTTAATACGCTCAGCGTCGCGCCCTATACACCAATACGTGATGATTCACAGTCTAAACCTATCCAAAGCGCACAACAACGCATTTCCATGTAGAAATCTATATAAATCTAATATTAGAGTATAAATTAGATATAGGGCCCATTTTTTTATATATAAATATCGATTCTAGGCCTTATATTATCCCCCCAGGGTCTCTATACAAGATATAAAACTCAACACCAAAAAGATTCAACAACAGCAATTGTAAGAATTGAACTCGATCTATATCAACAGTCATAATGGCTTCATAAACCAAATCAGGAAATTATAATAGATAGCATCATCATTATTATATCATAATTATACAATCATTTATTAAAAAAAACAATAGATATTAATTTAACACTATATAATAACTTTCTTCTTAGTAAGCTAATTTTTATATTAAGTAAAAACCTAGATAAAGAAATTATCAGCTTGGTCATATTACTCCTCAAAAAGATAAAGAATATAAAGACTTTATACAACTTCTTTAGATATTATTAATAAAATAAACTTATTAATAATATCTTTATCCAGCTCCTTAATCTCAGATAGGTTAAATTAGCTTAAAATAATATTATTAATATCTATTATTAAATTATTAACTTACTTATCCACAGGATTTAAAAATTAATTAATATCTATAATATCTTAAACCCAGTTTATAAGCTTAAGATCCTATAAGCTATTCTATAAATCTTATACTAAAAGTATAGTCTTAAACTCCTCCTTAATCTCAATATAAAGAGCTTTTTTAAAGCAATTAGTAATTACTATTAATATAAGTTAATCCTCCTATATATTAACTGCCCACTATATACCATAAAAAAATATTATTATCAATAAGAGATCAACTCTATAATTAAATTCGTCAATAATATACTGAATCTATTATTACTTTCATAGAGCTTTCTAAGCTTAAATAATCTCTTAATTAAAAGACTAATATTTTATTATTAAATTAAACAAAAGCTATATAATAATTATATACTTCAAGTTCTTTTTAATCTTATTAATAGCAGATTCATATACCGAAAAGTTATCCATTAATAGAATCATATTCCAGCCACTTATTTATTTATTAAAAGCATAAAGTCATTACTTAAAGATATCTCCAGTCATCCATATCTTTAAATTAGCCTACCATTATATACCAAGATTATAAAACTTAATATAAGCCTAAGTAAACACTCAAAACTTCTTTAACTTGTCAATAACCTAAAGAGAGAGTCACTCTAAGCTATCTAAATTGTATATAAAAAGAATACTAATTCATATCTTATCTTTCTTCCAACTAGGCAAAGAACGCGTTTAAAGACCCTAATTAAAGAATAGCTTCCAATATAGACTAGATTCATCATAATTAAAAATATCTTATAGAAGATATAAAACAAGAAATTAATAAATCTTAATTATTTCATCTATTACATCTATAGCTAAGCTTATAGCTTCTCCATGTTATTTCCTACTCTTTATATTATTCCATATTTAGAATCTAAATAGCTAGCTATTACTAAATAATAGCATAGGGTCATTCAGATAAAGATATCCCTAATATTACTACGCTTTATAACATATAGTCTTCTATAAAATAAAAACTTTAGCTTTAGTAAGTTTTATCTAATTTATAATAATCTTTTCTAACTCTGGCTATTATTCAGTACAGCGCCATTTATTTTTTAACTAATAATCCTTAAATTTATCAATAAACACATATTTCAATAATAGGATTTATAAAACAGAGAGCCAGTCGATTAATTACTTATATATAGCTTCAAACCACTTTTTTAAGTCATAATGCATAAGATAGAGATTTATTCATTTTTGAGCGTATAGCGCTACTTTCCACTTATTAGAAATAGCTTTCCAACATCTTGAAGAGTCTCATTACTACATAATTTAGCTAATAACTATTAACATTAAAATTACTAAGTAATCTACCTTATATATAAGCACCTTTGTATAGAGGGTTCAAAATAATTAATACTTATCCTTATACCCAGGTATAAAGCGCATTTGTATAGGGAACGAAAAATTTTCAAATTTTTGGCGCTATAAGTCGGGTTGCGCTACTATCCGGGGATCTTATATCCAGGGTTGACTGTATCTCGACATCTAAGTTAGTGCTTCAGGCTTAATTTAAGTTTACTCATCACTTAGAAACCTATTTCTACGTAGAATAAGAACATAGTTAACATATCCGCTTAGGATTTCTTACTAAGTGAGGGGTAAACCTAAATTAAGCCTGAAACACTAATTTCATCTGGAAATCCTTAGCAAACATTCCACCAAGCCAATAAGGTCAGTCATCTCTCCAGACTTCTCAGCACATAAGCATTCTTGGCTTGCGGCTGCCTGTAAGCGAAGGAAAATCGCAAAAAGGAGCACGGCGATGGACACAATTTCCCAGCATGAAGAAAATCGCCAAATTGTCGCTCGCTACTGGCAAGAGTTCTGGACTAATGGCAATACCAGCGTTGTTGACGAACTTTGTGCCGAAGACGTTACCGTCTTTTACCCGCTCCATGGTCAATTTGTGGGTAAAGCAGCAGTGAAAAGAATGCTGGAGGATTTTAAAAAGGTTTGTGTGAGTTGGTACCAAATGGCCCAGCATGTTACTAATTTCGCAAAGTCATTTCCAGACGTGTCATTCAGATTACTTTCGCCATTCCCACTGATTGCGGAGAATGACTATGTCGTCGCTCGCTGGTTTGGAGGGGGGAAACATACTGGAAAAGCTTGTTTTGATTTCCCAATAGGCAGCTTACCTCAGCCTAATTCCGGGAAAGAAATGCGATTCTCCGGTACTACAGTCTTCACGCTTCGAGACGGCAAAATCGTGGAAGAGATCGGAGAGGAATCTGCGCTGTCCGCGCTTCAGCAATTGGGTCTTATTTGAACAAAGAAACTTGGTGAATCGTGATGCATCTCGTGTGTATCAAATCCGCAGCTATTTCCTTATGCGTTGAATTCAATATCCGATCGAGATCTGAATCTTGATCGTTCTTAAAATCATACTCCCGCGCAGAAGTTGCACCTTAATCAAACTAGACCTCAAAAGGGAATGGCATCATCAACACTATAGATTATAAAGCCAAGGACTAAATTTGGATAGTGTTAGCTCAGCATAAAACTATTTTAGAATAACCCAATTTATTATTATCACTCATTGCCTTGCGCAGAATCAGAAGGAATAAAAACAATCTAATTTATCTATCGTTCCATCGAGCTTCTCCGCACCTTTTGATTTCTTTGAGATGTGAGATGGTAAAAACGATCGAACTCTTTGAAGTATTATAAGGCTGACATTACTCAACAAAGTTTTACCATGATTGAGCTTAGAATCGTGTCGGCATATAACTCGGCTGATTAGCTTTCAGCAAACTTGGATCTAGCCCTCAGCTTCTTTCCGAATACGTAAATCGCAGTAGTTCCGAAAATGCCAGCGACACTGAAGCCACCTAGAAGTGTCACACCACGAGCGACGCCGAGTTTGACGAAAAGCGGCCTTGCAAAGGCCACGCTTCCAACTGCGATCCCAGATCTCCAGATGCTGTTTCCTGCAAACAGAGAAGCGGTATACTTTGGATATGATAAAGGAAGGTAGATGAACAGTGACTGCATCGTCCAAAAATGACCAATACAAAATAATGCTGCGCCAGTAAGGGGAGCAATCCAGTGGACATCGGGTCTGGAGGTCCAGGCGAAGACGAAGAGACCTGAGGTAATAAAGAACGCTCCGACTATAGCGGGGACGAGGCGGTGTTCTTGCTCGCGGAGGCCATTCTTCTTGTTATCCGGAACCATGTAAAAGTAGAGGTACGCAAAATAAAGGAGAAGTGCAATTGCAACGCCAACCAAACACGATAAGAAGGTGAGACTGGTTTGACTGAGACTGAAACCATACATAACTGGGAAGACCAACGGGAAGACCTCGAAGAAAGTATAGAACACGCCGTAGAAAAATCCTGTGTAAAGATTGACGAAGAATATTGCCGGATCTTTCAACATAATTTCCATGGGTCGGATGAGAGCGGTCGAAACGATATCAGAGACCTTCATATTGTGCTGGTCAATTTCGCTTTGGGATTGCAGTCTTTGATCACCTGTAAGCTTGCGCAGGCGTCTTGCTCGCCTCAACAGAATATTCTGGGATGATGTCTCTGGCATGAAGAGTAATAATGCGATGAGACTAATGGAAGCCATCCAAACTATCTCCCACATTGGCCATCTCCAACCATTGGCCTGTGCCGCAAAGCCTCCAATTACTGGTCCAAAAGCAGGGCCTGCCCATGCAGAAAGCACCCACCAAGAGAGTCCGAAAGGGATATCGAATATATCAAACAAATCTCCCGCTGTTGCTCCTCCGTTTGCGAGAGCGGGGCTACCGAAGAATCCTAGCCAAAATCGTAAGGCAAGTAGGGACCCAAAGTCTTCGATAACGGTCTCTGGGAAGGATAGAACCCAGAAGACGATGAAGGGAACCCAATAAACAGGATTGCGTCCAATAGCAGGGATCTCGCTGAGAGGTGCAAAGAGCAGATCTCCAATGCCGTATGCGAGAACGTACAATCCTAGGCCGAGGGATGCTGCAACGGCAGAAACACTAAAGTATTCTTGGATTTGCTCTGCCGCGATAGAATACGTAGGACCGGCACAGTAAACTGTGAATGTATACACACATAGGACGAACATAACGAATGACTTTTTCAATGATGACCAGTTCTTTGGATTGGCTGGATCATCATTAGTGTACCAGTCGACGAGAATGATTCCATCGGAGGTCTTCTGCGGAGCAATAGGAATAGACTTTGTTCGCCTCACTCCGAGGCTGTGATCTGACGCCATCTGGACTTGCCTCAAACTCTCCACGTCGTCAACCTCGTGAAGGGAAGAGGACGACAACAGAGTATTGGCATTGGATATACCATCTTTCACTGTATCTGATTCAGTCACCTCGCCTGGCTTTTCTGATCTGTTGAGTTCAACGAGATATTGAGGAGGTATTTCGAAGTCGGGTCTCTCTTCTGGATATCGAAGGAGTCTGTTTCGGGAGAGTATACGAATTGCCTGGCCAGCAGGAGTTTCCCTAAGTAGATCGGACATATTATATAGTGGTGTGTCTAGTTGCGAAGACTCAAGTAACTCTGACGCCTTTCATAGATTCGGAGATGATTGTTGAAGAGAAACATAACGATGACACTCAATGAAATATTCTGGTATATATAGTTTTAAATATCCACTCATCTCGCCGGCATGAAGAGCGAATGGACTTTACAGATAGTATCTGTAATCTGGCATCAGGGGAAGTATTTCTAAGCAGGATTAATAAGACAGAGAAGCCAGGATACAGTGGTTCACACATCCTGATTCCCAAGTAGGCATACGTCCTATCGCGGGCTGAACCCATTCTGGTAAATAGGTGACAAGAAAAATAACCTAAAACAAATCAAATAATGTTAAGATCATGGTTCCAAGAACAAAGGATCCGACTTGGCGATACACATGCATAATATGTGCTTGGTGAAACCCTTGTCAACTTTTTGCATACGACCTTTCCATTAATCGGTTGCCTATTAGAGTAAATGGTCACCAACATGTTAGTCTTAGTCAACGGCCTAAACAAACTAGCTGATGACAAATTTCAAATGACGCTCATAATATTTCGACAAGTCGTGGTCAATGCCTTGCGGCCTGGGACGCTATCGCGGAAGTGGCAATTAGATGTGGTATCAAATTTCCACTTCTATACTAGTGGATATGGCATTAGAACATGTACTTTGACGACGGATCTTATATTTTAATCAAAAGCTTGCTTTGAAAAAATTCTTCTTAGAAATCAAACTACTGATGTCATTGACTACACAACACGCTACGCTTCACATTTCTAGGCCTCCGAGGTTTGTAGGGTCCGATAAAGACGTCGATTGACCTTCGGATAAATTTGGAGTCACCTAAAAAACGTCCACTTCATTATCTTTCCAAACAAAACATAACCATGGCTAGCAAACGAAATACTCTTGCAAAACATCTCAAAAGTCTCCATCAACCTGGTAATCCCATTGTTCTTGCAAATATCTATGACGGAGCTTCTGCCAGAGTAGTTGCGTCTTTMCCCGCCGCGAAAGTCATCGCAACGGCAAGTTACGCCGTCGCGGAGGCCGCCGGCCTGAAAGACGAAACCTTGACTCGAGAAGAACTTTTGCGGTCCGCCAAAGCTATTGCCGCCTCAATCCGAAACTTTGACAAGCCTTTGACTGTCGATGTCAGAGATGGATACGGAAGGATGCTTGAAACCACGGTGAAAGAATTGATCGAAGCTGGAGTTGTCGGTGTCAATCTAGAGGATTTTGACAATGATGCAAAAGAAATGTACAACGAGTCAGAGGCAGTGGGTCGGATAAAAACGGTTCTCGAATTGGCAAAAGCTGCTGGAGTACCCGACTTCGTTATCAACGCCAGATGTGACACACTCGTTAACAATGGGAACCTAGATGAGGTTATTGAACGCGGTAAGGCATACCTACAGGCGGGGGCTACCACGGTTTTTGTTTGGGGAGGATCGATTCGAGGGGGKATAACTCGTGACGAAGTTATTAAACTAGTGAAGGCTTTCGACGGACGGTTAAACGTGTTGATTACTTCCAAGAATGGTTTGTCTACCAAAGAGCTGGCGACAATCGGAGTCTCCCGAATAAGCGTTGGTCCTATGCTTCAACTTGCCGGTCTTGAAACGCTCAAGGAGGTCGCTCAATCTATTCTTGATGTTTGATATTTCAGTCCACATTCTTGTCTGTTTTACCGTATAAATTGAAAGTATAACGCCCGATTTTTACATTTCCAATGCTTAAGTTTCAGATCAATAAATAATCTATGGAATATTGTTCCAGGAATGCCTTGTGGCTTTGCTTGATTAGAAGATCTTCGTCATGCGTCAATAAGCCTCAGAGGTTCAGATAACTTCTCCAGTCACGATCTGGGTCACAACTTCTCTCTTCTAGTTTCTAGACTGCATTTTACAGCTGAGACTTTTGAAGAATTCTCTGATGACTGCTGTTGGTATCCTGGCACTGTTATAGCTCCAAAGAGATTATTCTCCAAGGCAAGGATGTTATCAAGAAATGTGTGGCGATAGTAATGGAGGAACATTCCTTTTGGAATCAAGCTATTACAATCAAGTTTAAGAACTAGTAGCTAACATCGCTAGAATCAGGAAGATCATAAGTCTTCGCCCACTCCTCAAGAGTCTCCACTGGAGTGACATTCAAGTTTTCAGCAGTCAAAATGTTAAGTCCAGATTCGGTCCAGTCCTGGAGAGGGACGAACTTGAAATAGTCCATCATGAGAGCAAACTCCTCCGACCAACGAGGCCAGGGCCACAATGCGCGGTAGTCCTTCCGAGAAATTTGCACCAAATGTGCCTGTGCGCCCCTCGCTGCAGCCCATTCCTCAACCCACTTCTTGGCCGTCCACTGCCCAATGCTGCCGATGACCATTGTACCGTTCTTCGTTTTCTCTGGGTTGGCAATAATGGCCTTGATAAACGGTGTAACGTTGTCTACAGCACCGATGAATGGAATAATGGTCTCGGAATCGTAGGTAGTGAATTGCACATACTTGTTCGCGGTCTCGATCCAGTAAGGACGGAACGAGGCAATCTGCAAATTATTGGCGTAATAGCATACCATGAACAACGTAGTTCTGGGTAGTAGGAATGGATCCCTGCGGATAAGGTCGTCGGCTTCCGATTTCCCTTCAAAGTGGTAAACAGGGTAGTCCTTGCTACCCTTGGGCAGGGTACTCCAGATGTAATGTTCAAGCGTTGGCGTCGCCGAAGCTGCTCTCACAAGATTACTAGCCTGCTCGCGTTCAATTTCCTTTGACTTTATCGGACCATGGATCCGGAACAAGTTCCAGAAGTCAGTGACTCCGAAGACGATGTGGGAGCCCTGAAAGGCCGCAGTGAGAGAGTTGAGGTCGTTGAGGTCGGCTTGGACGACTTCAATCCCCGCGGATATCAGGGCTTTGGCAGCAGCACTGTCAGGATTGCGGGAGACTCCGCGGATGCGATACTGGGGGTTGCCAGCGAATGCTGCGATGACGGCCTTGCCCTGTTGGCCAGTAGAGCCGACGACAGTTACAATCTTTTGAGACATATTGACAGCGTAGTAATTTGATATAAAACTTGTCTAGGTTGGATTTTTCGAAGTGGAAATAATCTTGTTAATGCTATCGTTGAAGACTTAACCATTTGTTCCTACATCTCGCTCCCTTTATACCTTGTAGTGGAGCAAACTGAAAGCAAACCCGTGCATGATAATTAAAGCATGCTGCTGATTTGTAATTGCTTCCTTTTAGATTCATTGCTCATAAAGTTTACAATAACTGTTTAAACCCTTAAAGAACTATTTACTAGGCTAACACAGCCGGAAATTATTCGAGCTGAATATAGCGTCGATTGGTACACCCAGCAGTGTCCATTACCGCTATATCGGTATATACCTTCACATCGTATTTCTTTGTTCTTCTAGTAGACCTCTCCTCAGTTCAACTATTGGGCAACATATGATACTACACTTGAAGTGATTTGATCTAACCAGATTTGGCAATAGTATGACAGTATATGTTTCCCTTTTCAACAAAAGCAAGATTTGTCCCAGCTTGAGTAGTGTTTCGGGTACCTATGTACAAGATACTGAATCTAATGAATTAATTCCAATAATAATGTCTGTGTCTATTATAATAATCTTTTATTATGCATAATATTATATCCCGCTCCTCAAATTACGCTCATGAGGCAATAGGGATCGCCGGAGTGTGCAAATAGGAATTTGAGGTTGTATTACATGCGGTGCCGTTGACTGTAAACACTTAAAAGGCTCCGATTTTGGAGTATGAAGCACGGCCTTCAGACTTATCACAGAGATAACAGACTCATATCCAGACCCGTTTACAGTGATAGGTTTGAATGTGTTGTATACAATATGAAAAACGGGATTGTAATATTCGACTACATTGTTATCGGCAGTATGTGCCACCCTTGTGACTCGTTTGATTCATAGCTGGTACGTCGGGTTGTCTAGCTTCCCGCCTGGTTGAAAAAGGCTCGAAGCTATACGTGCTACTCGTTGACGCTACAGGCCACCAGCCATTCAAGGAAGCACTATACCTCGCCCACCGTTGGTTCTCAGATACGTCTTAGCCCGATCTCATCTGGGCTTATTTATCGACTCATGAGTCAGAACTTGATGGCTGCTCGATAGATGTCAGCCGGGGTACAAGCTTGGGATGAAGTTCGAACCTTAAGTATCTGTGCTGGAAACTGCCAACCAAAGATTATATTGCCGAATGGTAGACCAGAGACTGTGGGAATAGTTCCTCACGTTGTGAACACTCTCAGCGACTGATTGATAGTTTGGTGAAGTATGAAAACCATACCATCAAGGAGCTTGCCTGGCAACCTTTGCACGCTATGACTGATGCTCCTCTGATGAAATTCGTGGTCGATATTTAGAAAAAGGCAAAGGCACCCTTTACTTTGAGATACATTGCCTATCCCACAGCCAGGGATATCAAGCTGCTTCTGGCACCTGAAGCAGCCAGTTTCTTGCAGAACAAAGAACTCATTTCGGGGAACACTCGCGGCTAAGGCATTATGCACTCCATGTCCACAGCGAACGGCTCTCTCCGATCCAGTCCATCTGAAGCATTCCTTTTTAATAAGTTAGAAAACCTGGATATCAAGACGGATCTGGAGGCCACACGCTTACTTTTCAAGGACAGGAACGCTGAATAAATAGAAACTAATGGCGGCGAGAAGACGTTCACAGATATTTCACTTATGAACGAGGGTCTCGTTGAGTGTGCCTAGTCTTGAATTATGAATACTTGAAGTAGCCGCATCTCAAGGGATTTAATCTGAAATCCTTTTTCTCCACATACCCGCATGGAGGCCTAGATAGTCTTCCGCATCCACAAAAGAACAATCCATCATCTAGAGGCATAAAACGCGTAATCACCCGTACGAGATTTTAACTCCCGTTAGTATTAGCGGGGTCAGCGCTCAATGCTAATATGTTTACCACTCTAGGCTAAGCATCGAGATAATTTCTAAATAGATATATGATAATATCTACTATTTTGGAATCTAGTATTTTGCCGCGGACTTAATTACTTGGAAGTCGTTACCTACGCCGTATAATCAAGCAAGAAGAGGATGATAATAATGTTCAACAACTAATAATACTAGCATTAGATATAAAAGAGGCTAAAAGCTATCATTTGTTTAAAGTCCTTATCTAAACTTCACAGTAGTAGGCCTTGGTTAATTTATTTTAATGCTGGGCTGCTGTTATATCATGTTTTTATATAATAAAATTGTGAATTGTGTTTTTCAATCTTTTTACGGAAACGGCAGTCAATCAATTTCTTCAGATATAGCAACCAAGCGTATGCATAATAAATAGTCTTATAATTATCGCTGTATGCCATATGTTTAGAAGCAAGGTTTTTTTTTTTTTTTTTTTTTTTTGGACATTGAAATGGAAATCATGTTGAATGCTATGGTGGGCCTTTTTACTTGGAATACGTCGGATTAGGAATCTCCATATTTGTAATTCAACTATAATTCTCAGACATGGTTTGTCATCTTGGGATTCTATTACGAAGTATTTCTAGGAGGTGCCATTGATAAAGGCACTGATAACGGATCGAGGGTTAGACTAGCCGAAAACCGTAGTTTGATTCGAAACATAAAGTTCATATTAGGATACGCGTGGTAAGTAATCATGTTTCCGTTCTGGCAACAGTACCCAGTTATTTTATCCGCAGTCAAAGTACAGCCATAATGACAAACTTCTTTTTTTGACAAATAGGTCTATCAATGTTGCTGAACAGATCTATTATTTATATCCCATAGACACCATGTCCATGTATACGCCATAAAAAAAAGGCCCTACAAATTTCAATATGGCAGACGGCAGTGGAGTCTTGGAGACAAATATGGTGCTAGATGATTCAGAATCAGCACGTCCGAGTGACCATGATGCTTGTATATCAAGCAGCATGAAAACCTCTGAGACACGATCGGCAGCGGCGGTTCCAGTAGTAGCACCACCACCTGATGGCGGTCTAAAGGCGTGGATTCAAGTGCTAGGTGCACACTTTCTATTTTTCAACTCCTGGTGAATAAAAACCCTACAGCATTCACCAGAATTACCATGTTCTAACAATGGATGTTCAAGGGGCCTCGTAAATTCATTCGGCGTCTTTCAGACATACTATGAAAGTTCACTTTTAGCTTCCAAAGGCGTGTCCGCCATCTCATGGATCGGCACCGTGCAAGGCTTTCTTCTGGTTTCTCTTTGTCTCATTGTCGGACCGCTTTTCGACCAAGGCTATTTCCGACAAATGATCGTGCTTGGCTCATTCTTGACCGTGTTAGGAATGATGATGCTTAGTCTCGCGGAACAATATTGGGAAGTTTTCCTAGCACAAGCATTGTGCACAGGATTGGGCACGAGCTTTCTTTTCCTCCCGAGCGTAGCCATCGTCGCCACATATTTTACAAAAAAACGTGCTCTCGCCATTGGTGTGGTGGCTTCAGGTGGTAGTATCGGAAGCGTGATATATCCAATTGTCTTTGAGCGATTACAACCTCGAGTAGGATTTCCATGGGCGACGAGAGTTATTGGCTTCATCTCCTTGGCAACTCTCACCATCAGCATTGCAACGTTAAGAGCACGTCTACCCCCTCCGAAAAAGGCACGTACCTTGCTGGATCTTCCGGCATTCAAGAGTCCACCCTTTACCCTATTTAGCATAGGACTCTTCTTATCATTCGCTGGGCTTTATGTTCCAATTTTCTACATTGTCAGCTGGGCCCAAGAGCACGCACAAATTGAAGCTACCCAGTCTTTCTACATGCTCGCCACGCTTAACGGCGCTTCTGTTTTTGGCCGAATTATTCCAGGTATCTTGGCCGATAGATTTGGTGGAATGGAACTCATGATCGTAACCTGTACCATCGCTGGAATCCTTGCCTTTGTCGCCATTATCATCGATAACTTGAGCGGTGTGGTTATATTTGCTATATTATACGGTTTCGTTTCCGGGGCACTGGTATCGCTTCCCAATGTCGTTGTCGCCTCGCTGACACCCAATATGGCGTTGATGGGAACATGGATGGGAATGAGCTTCTGCTTTGCAGCTACTGGCATCCTGATTGGGAATCCGATTGCTGGGACCATCATCAACGTGCCTGAGAACAGGTTCACCGGCGGTTTTGTATTTTCTGGCTCCCTGATACTGGCAGCGGCAGCATCGTTTGCTGCTGCAAAATGGTCTAGAGGGGCTAAGAATAAAGAGTGATTGACGCAGTCATGGAAGCAACTGGACAATAAAACACGCGGACATCATTTTCGGACGAGATATCCCTTTTCATATAAAGCTACTCATTGTTCTGCCCACATTTCTTGTCTTTCCTTGCAGTGCTTTTTTTGTCTCAACTTATGCTTACTAGATCAATTTCCCAATCGTTCCCTATATCACTTGCATCTCAAGGATTAATCATATCCAAAACAATCTCTTTCTCCTCGTTAAATTTTCTAGGTTCCCCTATTTTGTTATTTATTTGCGGCATAGCTACAAAAATCCCACCGAAAACTTCTACAGTTTTCCCCGCATGTCCATTCCGAAAGACAATTAGAGATAGATCAAGATAGTTACCTCTGAAAGAAGATGATATTGAAATTAGAACCTTAAAAAGTGCATAAGATAGTCTCAGCACGCCTTCACTGTATACGGATCTATCTTTTCCAAAACTACTACGGTATATATATATACTTCCTTATATCTAACTATAGTAGTAGAACCAGCCATTACACCATTATTGGACCCTAACTATGTTAATTAGCTATATCTATATATACGACAATCAATCATAATAATATATTATATAAGTCGGAACATCAATTCGCACCCGTTTCGTTCTGGCATATTTGAGCGGCACTTCGACCGGCATATTGCCAGTCATATTGCTGGGCCTACTGCCTTGCACGTATATTCCTCTTTGCTTCGATTCATAGGGCCGTCAGACTACCCTTCTCCCAATCCAGTTGAGCTGATCCTGGACCGGAGTAAACCGACAATATATTTATTTTCTTATTCTTTATATATCTCTCTAGTAGTAGTAGTAGTAGTAGTAGTAGTAGTAGGCAATAATAGAGGGATGAAAGGCCCTATAGATAAAAAAAGGAAGGGAAAAAAAAGGATTATAATAAATAAGTATATGAAATGGCTCCTGCCTAGAAACAAATTGTAAGATAAGATTTATGGCAAGACGACGTTAAAAGCAATTAAGGAAGCGACTCACCTGCTCTATATATGTCTCGATTCATAAGAAACATCTCTCGGTATAAAAGGACGAGGTGGCCTGAAACACTGGCCATCCTATTCTATAATATCCATATTTCTTAAAAGACCCCAGACAAGGCAACCACCAACAAACCACCCCCCAGGACCGAACCACCATGCACAGCTCGCTGACTGCTTTAAGTCAACCTTTGCAAGCTCGAGGATGATGGTCCAGAGTGTGCAAGCAAAATGTCAGCACAAAACAGATAGGAGCGACGGCGACAAAGGAGAACTGTCGTCTCAGGGCTGGCTTACTTGTAACAGAGGATCTGCGCTAAATATTATAACACATACGAAGAGGGATAGAGAAAACCTAAAAACGGGAATAACCCTATAGGATATGTGTAATAATTTTAGCTAGAAGATAGATATAGAAGATCAGGATAGTCAGGCCTCTATAATTGCGAAATACGCTAGGAAATAGAATATATAAAATATTTAGAAGGCCTATCAGGAATAAGCTAAAAAGAATTACCTATATGATAGAAACTATATATTACGTAAAAGAGTAGAATCATATACTTTTTACCTATTGATCAAAGTCCTAGTTAAAGATGTTATTCTAAATACGCATAATACCGCATAGTACAACTATCTAGAAAGATAGATAAACAGTTACAGTCAATAAAAAAGAGATATTTAGTACCATAGAAGTAGTATAGGCTGTAAAGCTTATACCAATTAGGTAATGCTAATAAAAGGCATAAAGGCCCTATAGTTGATCCAATCTTATTAACTCAGCATAAGGGATCCGTGATCAAGGAAGTACGGCGAAGATGCCGTTTTCTGGCTCCTTATATACAGATGGAATGCTCTCATATTTTATATACCTCCAATATCCAATCGTTGTTCATCATATACGTGAGCCTTGAGTGCCTTAAACCTTCTCGTAGATGCAACCCTTGAGCGCCCTGATGAACCCGGTAGTTTCATACTGAATTGAGAAATCCGATTTAAAGTAAAGTCCAATGTGGCTCCGTTTTTGTCTCAAATTGAGTAAGGACGAGAATCAAGATTGAGAAGAGCTTCTTTGTTTGCATCTGAGTCCGAGAGAGCGTTTAAGAAAGAAAGAAAAACAAAAACAGGTGATAGGCTCTGTCTTTACAAAGAAAAATCTCGGAAGGTGCATCATTATATCGGGCTATATTTGAGTGAATAAATTTCTCGAGCGGGGTATTCGTCAATCAAACTCTACTATGTGTCGAAAATCACTCACACTAGAACAATGCATCCAATTCGTCAATGAGTTGAGAATGATATTCACCGACTCAGACCAAGAGCCTTTCTGTCAAGGCTGACATGAGACCTTCCATCGTATATCAGGTTATACAAAAAACCGGATCATCATGCATCTGCCAGTATCGCCATCTTTTCAAGGCAAGATTCTACTTGTTTCGTGAGGAGTTTCATATTTTATTCTATTGTATCTGCCGCAGTGTTCTTGTCCTGCATCAAGTGTAAATTGGATTTCATTTGCTAACTAAACTTCTCAAGGTATGAAACAAAGGATAGCCAAATTGACGACTTACTAGCTTATTATTGTATTCTTAGAGGCAAAGCAGTACAGTTGATTTTCAGGTCGGCAGATGGAGATGCAGCCCCCGAATATGCACTACTGCTGTAATTTTCTGTTGGAGTGAGCATCATGATTTACCTGACAATAGTACCATAATCCTCCGCCAAGTCCTCATAAACACCGTAGGTAAATGTATGTGGTCGAATCGTATGGTTGGATCACCCATTGGCACGGTGAGAACCGTGGAACTTTGATGTATTTGTTGGTTTGAGGGGCTCCGAGGCACTTTGATTTCCTATTCTCCATTAAAGATTTCACCGTAACGTTGGGCGAATAGCTGCGAGGGATACACACACCTACTTTTAGACCTCCCTGGCTCCTCTATCATACACCTACGGTCTTGTGAATCTTTCTTACGGTTATCAATTGACTTAGGAATTAAGTTGTTATATTGGTCAGCTCACCCTACAGGCTCGTTGTCCTAGCTTTTGCCTAATGCAAACTTTGGTGGTTGGAACAGGATAAACCAACAATTTGTTTAGACCTAACATTTGTTCGAGGATTGAATAAATAACCATACATTAAGCTCGAGTCACATATAGCAACAGTCTGCCATACCGATTACCGTCAATCTCAGGATTGAACTGTCACCTCCAGTTTAGTTACCCAAAAATGGTATGATTTCTCAAAGGACTTACATTTTCGGCAAAGACAGAGGCATCGTGTCTGCAATATACCCTCCTAGTCGGTAGGGTTGAATACCGACCGTTTCCCGGGTCCTTCACATTGCCAGTTCAAGCATACACCGCAGTCAACACACTAGATAACGGCGCAGACTTGTTAGCAGTGGCATCACATATTTTCAAACTGATATATGGAACAGTTTGATCACATAAATCCAGGCCTTACTTCCGCGGTACAAGTAGCACCAGGTGGGACTTGGCATTCAGAACAAGGAACTTGCGTCTAATTCTCCGAATGGATCATCAGTGACTGCATGACACATTTCGGCATCTGCCAACAAGGTAGCATCATACCACAGGACATGAAGCCATTGCCACTCCTCCTAACAAGAAGCTCAGAACAAAGATCTTGATTTGCATCTCGATTGATTGTGGTTCGATCGAAAGAGATTGAGTCGGTATACCTTAGAAAATTTCGTACTGCTACGGCTATATGGAATGGGAGGGGAACTGCAGCAGTTTATATACCAACTTTCCGATATTGTATATGTACTATGTAGACCGCGGGCCAGCTATGGCAGGTTAATTCAATACTCAAATTAAGTAATTCTTCTCAGAGGAACAATATTTTGGTGTCGGGCAGTGTCCGCCGGTTTTGGCAGGTTCCTACCTCCTATTATTACTGTACTACGAAGGTGTAAGAAACAAGTGCAATACGATCATAAAACATGAGTCATGACGATGTTTTGAAGATCCTGCCCCCCGGCTCCGGATTGATAAAGCTAGCAGATTTTACCGGCGAGAGAGTTATCATTTAATATAGTTTATACTAACTTTAACTATAACTTAACGTTAACCTAGTTAAGCGCTACGCTGACTAAAGGCTGATACGCAGTGGCAGAAATAGCACCCTTTTAATGGCGATGTTTTACATGTATTCAGCTTCACGCATAAGATCTAGTATTGTAACAAGATAAATTGAGAAGTATTAATTAATATCAGACACAAACAGTCTCACTGTAAAGTTTAGCCGACAAAAGTATGATAGAAGCATCGGACATTCCCGACATCAATGCAATGCCAGCAAGGAGGATAATCAACTTTCCGGTTGACATTTACGTAAACTGTCTCGGGGCCAGCTACAGTAATGCGTGGTTTTACGTAAATTGTACACATGTGTCAAGGCTATTAGACGATATAGTATCATTTAGGAGGCCGGCCGGAGGTCAGATACGGTTTAAGGTTGTATCCTCTTATACAATCACTTTACACCGTCTTTAGAAACAATACGAGGTAATACAAAAGGCGTATTCAGATTTTTAGGGTCTGTTAGATTGTGGTGTACTCTGTGAATCGTATCGTACATCTTGACATTAGAAAAAAACCATAATACCTCAGTTTTCTGGGATATATGGCATGCCCGCACTCCAAGACCTCCCGTTCTTCATTTGAAATTTCTCCCAAAATATCGTGGATTCTATACTCTTTGCGTATATTCTGTGAACAAAATGTTTATCTCTACCTTGGTTGTTATTACCTCTTTGGTTGCTCATGTTCGCTGCGGCGCCAACTTGTGCTCCTTCCCTTTCCCAGCCGGAGGATCCAGTTGCGATGTTTCGCAAAGTAATGTCTGCTGTTCGAACTTGGATGATGATACCTGCTGCTCATTTGATGGCCAAGATGGAACCAATACCCATCTAGGAGGGTCTGTCTTGGTTGAAAACCTGCCAGATGAATATCAAGCTCAAGCCTATGGTCCCGCTATTCCTGGAGGCCAGGGATCATGTTCTGCTTTCTTAGGATCACTACGTTACGATGGCTGTCTTACATTTGGCAACAATCGAGCTGGCAGTGCTAATTATTTTTATTCCCCACGCAAGCGTAGCGACATAGCGGCCATGGAGTGTGTTTTCCCAGACAAAGCAACCTATGTCAACGAATCTGGTTTGACTAGGCACATTGCTATACCCACAGGGAATTACTCCATGATTGCAAAAGCGCTGAAGGAAAATGATTATGAAACACTATCTCGGTTTGAAGACTTTGGTGAGAAACTATATCCGGTTGTACATTTGTTCCGAAATTCTAACCTTTGAAGAATAATTGCGCGTTTAACTCCGTGTTTGATTGGGGTTCGCTGGATCATCAGTTCTTCAACGGAATGAGGACAAGTTCGACAATTATTTGGTGAACGGTGATAGATAAGGGAGGGCAACATTTGAGGTGATTATCTGGTTTTCGTCTCGGATGACAGAATTCTGTGAATTGTCGAATGTAAGGTCGTGAAACGGTTGAGAGTTGTCCATAGTGGCTATATAAGGATATTAAGTGGTTTAGCATTCATTTTATTAAGCCATATCTCTACCGCTGCCCTTCGTATTTAATATCCCTAGATCTTAGACGAGAACTCTTTCACGATAAATGTTGGTATGGCGTCACAAAAAAACAGATTCTCAATTCCATAACTGAGCCAAATGTGCGTAAAATATTCAGAACTATAGATATGATCCCAAATCTAACCCCCTGAAGTTAATAGTAGTTCCCTAGAAACAGGCATGCACGCTGTTTGATTGGGACGAGAATTATACAAGCCAGTCACGGCTTCTAAAAGTTGACGAGACTAAATATATTTGAATCACAATTAATTTCAAGCATTCTGTATTATTCCAGTCTCAACAGTTGATCTTTGTACATGTCCCTCTAGAGTTTCGGTTGGCGAGTTGAATCCTCCACTGTCATACTTCATTGGAACCCTTCCTGATCAATCCACCACTTTTCTGGAAGGCGATTATGTTGCAGAGGCAGTTCCAATGCTCCGTATCGTTAAGCGTCTCCTTCACTCTTCCACTAATTTCAACAATTTAGCTGCGAATGATAATAATTTCATGACTATAAGAGAACCCTTACCGTATTCTTCAAATAGATCCAACTGAGAATAATTATCCGCCAGCAAATATTTGGCGACGAGTGAGGAATTCCCTGGTGGAATTACGATCTTTCGTTCAACACCTCCCTTGTAGTAAACCCCGACATTGGGACTCTTACAATCCCCATCTCGTTTCACTCGCTGGCTTCCTTCAAGGAAAAAGGATGCGGATGGACAAGCATACTGCCCATGAACGCAACCCGGTCCTACTATGGTGAAAGCTGGTTCGGCGGCATCACAGTAGAATGCTGAGTAACCCGCACATTCATCATTATCGGCGATACCCTCACACAGAATGGATGTTCCGAAACCGGCATCAAAGGTACAACATGTATTGGATCCATAATTGTTGCAGCAGAGATGCGCAGCAGAGACATCACAGGGACTTGAGCTTGCGAAACCGCATATAGAGGAAGAGGCGTGAGAAACCCCGACGAAGGCAAGAAAATTGATGAAGTTTTTGAGAATCATAATTTCTATAGGCACTAGGTAGGTAGAGAGATAATAAAACAAAATTCTTAGACGGACAGTTTACGAAAGTTGACCAAAGGCTCTTTCAAATATGCTTTATAGCAATCATCTACGAGTAGGTGTTATGGCTTTCGTCGTCCCGTCCAGAGTAATCAGCAGTATGTCCGCTATCTCCTAGCACTAATGATAGTCTCGTCTCAACCATCAAGCGAGAATGAAATTTTCGTGGAATGAAAGCAACATCCTCTGGTAATGATCTCGTGTCGGATGGAGGCCGACAATGCTACGCTGAAAAGCCAATGATTCATGCATTAGTATATTCAAATAGACTTTTCATCTTAGTAATAGTGCTTGAGGGGGGAACTATACTTGCTTAATAAACCTTGATACGATGTCTATCACTTTCTCATTGATGATGTTTCCCAACAGATATAGAACAACTGTACTAATAAATTAGCTTGTATGTTGGGGTGGGCCTAATCTTAAATTCTTAAATGTTGGCAGGCCTCCACTTATTTTTACCATTACGTAGATAAATGATAGCAATAATATTAATATATCAGGTTTACAGTTTTAATAACATGGTGTTTCCCACTGGATATAGAAACAGCTGTACTAATGATCTCAGAAATGACTTGTATGTCGGGTAGACCGGATGGTAAACGTTGGGGGCCTCCGATTATATTCCATATAAATAGCAATAATATCAATATATTAGTTTTACGCTCTTGGCAAAATGGCTTTTCAACTGCTGTATTTTGAGTCATTCTTCTGGTTGCTAGCCTCAGACGACTATAGCTACAAAGCCTTGTCTTCATTCTTTTCAAGCTAATTGCCGACTTCTCCATTGGTTGTAACATCTCAACAAATTATTTTTCTTACCAAGAAAAAAAAAACAACAGGAAAAAATACCTTATAGCACGTATAAAATATACCTAAAGAAGAGTAGGCTGGTACCATAGCTGCCATGTATCTGTGACTTTCGATGGTCTCATTCATAAGCCATTATTCGAAACTGTCATGTGTATTGGCAACTAGGCTAACAAAGTCGTTACGATCTCCAAGCCTGGGTCTCGTAATGTGCGTACTGTCAAACATGATCATTATTTCTCTGAAACTAGTGACTACATACAGTATGCGTGCTGAACCTGTCTACCTGTTTCTCATGATTATTTTGGGACAGCGTTACATGACTTGATCCTCACAAACTCTGACTAAGCGACTTTCTTCCATAACAGCAGCCAAGTACGCAAGTTAATCGAAACTGAGGAGGTGAATGACTCAGGCCAATATTATAATATTGAATTGGGTAGCGTATAACGAGATAACTAAGCATAAGGAAAGAGACAACTAGCTGGGGGGATTCTCAATCTTTTATAATCCTTCGCACGTGATACCATATAAAAGTAATTGAGGACCCCGTACAAGATGAAACAACATACAAACTATATCCTTTGTTGACAGGCACGCGGTATCCTGATATAGATACCGAAGCTGCGCTGAATCCAGTAAACTCTGCATTGAGCCCTAAGCTGGAGTTTATAGTTGTGGTTGAACGCCTAATAAGAGGCGCTAGTCGGCATATTTGGGGTAGGTGTCTAAAATGGTATAGTTGTTGCTCAAAACACCTTCCAAAACATCGTCATCATGTCCGTCGGGAATAGCAATCCTCCGTTGGATTCCATCTTTGGTCGTATAGGATGCCATGTTTGGTGCCTGGCAATTGGTCTGCAACGTATCGTTGGTGTCGCGGGCGTCGCTTAATGACCTTCGACGATTGTTTAGATAGAACCATCCTGCACTGGCAGCTCGATTCCCACCAGAGAAGGTTATGCAACCATTGTAAGTGATCCGGCCAATAGCATTATTGCAAGTATCACTGTAAATATTTGCCTCAGCGGCTGGTACCGAGGAGCCGCTAGTAGGCAAACTCTCAGTGAGCACTGATCCGCCGAGTCCTGTGTTTTGACCGTCCGAATTGTCGAAACCGCAGCATGAATCTTCGCTGATATTGTTGCAACAAATGTAAGTTTTGCTTAGATCGCATCCCGGCGACACTCCGACTGGGAAAGAGCAAAGATTCACGCAAGAGCCCAGCTGAAGAATAGCAGCAAGAGTAATAAGAGTAGAGACAATCATTTTGCTGTTGTGAAGAGATAAGTGGAAGATGATGGCTCATTCATGCGAGGGCCTAGAGCAGATTGATATAGGCCGGCGGAATTGACTCTCTTTCTAGTCTAGACTAGGCTAATGCTGGGGAGTACCGTTTCGTATTGTTGTGAAATACGACGTACGTCTCCGAGTCTTGTCATCTATAGGCTAGTACACCAGGCTATTGCTGATATCAAGTTGTATTACGTAAGATCATATGATAAATGAAAATTATGATCCTAATCCTTTGTCAGTTAAATTCGACGACGTTTTTCAATCAGACCACGTGTTAGATTGCAATCAGCTTTCACGTACAAAAGAGGATCTTGCAATATGCTGACTCATTTTTGAGAGACCTAGACTACAATATAAGCCCCTTAACCGAACATAAATGTCCTCGAATAGGCGCCCTGGGATATTAAAGATCTACACGACCACGAGGCCCAACCGCATTTCCTAACTGTGCAATATTCAATTTCAATCAATCCTACCTCATTATACTACCTTCTTGTCAAGTGTCCAGGAAATTTGAGACAAAAGACATTAAAATGTTTATATTCCTTATCTTATCGCTGTTCATAGTGAGGCTGAACGGAGACCCGCCCGCTAGAAGATCGGACCCACCCCGACATCCACATCGGATCTACCCGCCGTGTTACTATTAGGCCCACCCTAACATGTAACACGTACCCATTTTAGTGTAGATGTATAGTGATGGGAATAATCTTTAACCAAGCTTTGTACGTAAAGCGCTGTATGGCTACTAGTTAAACTTTAAAGGCAGATACTGTCTTTAAATCCATGGGTATATACTACTGCATATCGAGATTTTTTGTGTTTTTTTAAATAACATTACTTGTCGTTGTCTTTTGAAGTATCATTGTCGACATTTTTTTTCACTATTGTTTTGAATCCAACTCCCTCAAAATGCAAATGAAGATATTATTTCTTGGCATGCTTCTAGCAGGAGCCAATGCAGCAGCTCTGTTGGAAACTCGAGTAAGTCAGCTTAGAAAACGTCTTGATGTTTTTAATTGGAGATGTCAATGCTAACTTAGTTTTTCAGCAAGTAAGTGAAAGTCAAAGATATGCCAAGATCCGCATTTAGGATTCCCTTGTAAGTCCATGCTTTAATGTTGGAACTAACATATACGATTATTTAGCAAGTACGTAATATCTCGCAGAAGCGCTTGTCTACTCTGAAGACCAGTGATTGACGGATGATCGGGGTTGGTTAGGGTGTAAGTGTCGACTCTGCAAAGCTTGTGCGTAGTTGGGGGCAAGTCTGATAGCTAACACATATGTCTGATGAAATAGGAAGTACGGTCTTAGTCTCAGACAACTTGATCAAGAGATGATTTATAAAGTCACTTACGAGTGTTTTGAAACGATTTAGAATGTGAGACTTCATCCAGCAAACCAATACCGGGCTAAGACATGGGATATCGCGGCTAATTACAACTCATTATCTAGGGTGTATGTGCCAAAGCCGCGCATTACAACAACAGGTAATCTGCCGTGCAGCGAACTGATAAATTTATCTTGTGATTTAGTGTGTATGTATCGAATTCAATCAATTATGAAATTGCTGAAGAGCTAAAATATGGCGATTTAGGCTGTAAGAACTCAGTTAGACCTCTATTGATGGCTGATTTGTCATGCGTGGTAACTGATGAGTTATTTGGTAATATAGCCGGTATGTCTTCACCTTGATAGATCAGTTCATGGTAATTGCATGTATGAAATGCAATGGCTGACAATATGTGGTTGATATAGAATGTACGATTCTATAACTGATCATGAATGCTGCATATGGTACTTGATGCCTAATTAATATGTGCAACGATTTAGGAGGTTTGTACTTGCCTTACGTACTATGTATTCAATTATATTATCGCTAATATACTCTTGCAATCACTAGGTCGTATGTATTGAACTTATTTGATGAGTGGATAGCTGATATGTGAATGTTATTGCTGACAAATGCTTGTGCTGGAAAGCCTGTAAGTAAACTTACCTGACCTCTTAGGAATCCTCTAAAACTGATAATCTCAATCTAGTGTGTACGTCGAGTTTTCGTTTAATGGGTTGCATGAGAGCATGTTACTAATATACGGATATGGCGATTTAGGCTGTAAGCTTTATGAGTCAAACCACACGAAGATGATTGACATTGGCATGATACCTAATGTATCTGGGCTTTTAGTTTGTATGAGTTGGCCTGATCTGATACACGCATAGCTGTGAAAATCACTAACAATGCTATCAAATATTACAGTGTGTATGTCTTGGGACTACTTTACCTACTACAAGGCTCAATATACATGTTGCTAATGAACAACCATTCATGATGGTACATAGGATGTATGTTACTACCGTGCTGGTTGAGTTTTCTGTGACTGACAAAATAATTACGGCGATCTAGATTGTATGTGACAACTTCATATACCAGGAGATGGTTTCTTTTGGATAATATAATTGAGCACTCTTTGCATTCTAGGCGGTATGTCCTGGCAACACTCGACTCTAGATCGCTTATATGTGATACAAGACAGCTAATGAGCAAATATCATCTTTAGCCTGTAAGTGTTTGCCTGATATTCTGGATGAATATCATCAGGTTAAAGGGAGTTATCGCTGATATATCATCGCGGCGGATTAGGGAGTAGGTTTTGATTCTGATGGAAGGCTGACATTGAAATAAAATTACTTACGAAGGCTGGCGTGAACTAGGGAGTATGTATTGACTGTCCATTGGCTATTGACTGTCCATTGGCTATAATATGTAAAAGCTGACAACTAGATCTCGCGATCCAGGTTGTATGTGGTGATTTCAATTGGCCAGAAAATGGCTGATACCTTTTATGATATCACTGACAAGTACTGTGTGGCTATGCAGTGTGTATGTGTTGATCTCGCTCAATCATCAAAAGGCTAATCAGAGGCAACATGGCTAATACATAATTCGATCATTTAGAAAGTATGGTCTATTCCAGTTTCTCGATACGCCTTGAAATACATGTGATGGCTAACATGTATATGTTGATATTACTAGGCTGTAAGTGTTGATTTACTGAACCAGGGGGTGGCTGATGGGAATCGCAACTAATGGAAATTTGAAAATTCTAGACCGTATGTCCTATCTCGATCCTGCTCAATCCAACAGCTGATATGTGGAACTTCCACGACTGATGAATTTCTGCGATAATATAGTCCGTACGTACTGTTTGCGAGCATCTGATTACTATGAGGTGATTGCTAATTTGTGGCAATTTAGGCTGTATGTATCAATGCTACTGGGATCAGCCGGTTTTAATGAAACTAATTTTTGACAATTTAGGGAGTATGTTTTTCGATCCTGAATTATCAACGGGTCTCTAATGACTATGATAACTGACAAACACAACCTTGGTGATTTAGGGCGTATGTCCTTCCCCCTATTGAGTAATTGACGGATGAATTGTGGGATATAGGTAGTTGACAAGTGACTACTGACATAGTGTGTATGTATCTCCCTCAAATGAGATACAACTGTTTGATACTGATGAAAAATTGGGTCATAGGTTGTACGTTCGCTATGCCTGATGAGGAAGTAGCTATCAATAGAGCTAACAAACCTCTGCTGTGGTTTAGGACGTATGTATCTATGCATTATCGGCTTCTAGCTGTGGATGGTTCTACAATTGCTCATGCGATAGCTGACATAAATTTGTTGAACTTTAGTGCGTATGTGACAATCTCTGTCGAGCCGATATAAATGATATGACCGCTGATGAGTAATGACAATGAAATAGGGTGTATGTCTGAAATCTATCTTAATGTCTTACTTTCTTATCGATTGTGGCTAATGATTCATGCTCGGTATTTAGTATGTACGTTCTCAGCGCCTCGGACTATTCTGATATTTGACATGGTATCACGGATGAATAACCGCAGCGACATAGTGTGTACGTATCCCCTCCACCCAGTAAACATTCAACATTCTTTTCTGAAGTATTGGAACTAACAAATCTCTACCTGTTTAGTTGGTGTGTATTTAGCCTAACTCACCGCTGTATGGCTTATGTGATTGCTAATTCAGCTCTCACGCTGGTCTAGAACGTAAGTCTGGACATTTATCCATTGACGTATGAATGTTGTACATAATAATAAAGCTGACAATCCTGTTCATCATTCCAGATTGTATGTGTTAGCTGTACTCTGTCAATTGATTTATCTGACGAATCGATGCTGCGGGTTCTAGCTTGTACGTGCCAAGACAGCATGATTGTCGAGCTACTTATAAGTGCAACCTGGTCATTGATAATTATCAATGGGATTCAGTGTGTGAGTATCATCTCTCAATAGCGAATGGTGAGCTCGAAGGCTAACAAAGAGCTGCGGCGATTTAGCAATCATAGGTCCGGCAGAAGTCATACATATAGGCTTTAGGTGTGTATATGAGTGCCGCTTTTATCCGTTTGCTAATCTCAAGGCGACGATATACCACCATCGAACGATCGACGGCACCTATGCCGGAACGAAGGTTGGCCACGACATGGCTGAGTCTCGATAAGGTTTTGCCCACATGGTGGTTTCCCTTATCCTTCGAACGAATGTTGAGACTGGATCTATAGAATTAAAGGGCAAATAGAAATTTCATTCAAATTCCCTAACATATCCATTCATGATATACTTGATTATATGTTGAGAAGGTATATTAGTGATTCTTGCATGACCAGCACTTGCATTAGTATCAAAAATAGCAAGGAGAAGATGGGAAGAAACTTGTTTATACGCTATAAAGTTAGTTCTTAATATTATTTTATATAGCACTTATTTTGTAGATGTATTATATATAATCTTTATATTTATTTATTAAATCTATTTTAGTTAGTTAACTTAGATCCTTACTTATAAATTATATAATTTATTTCTGTATTTACTTACTAAATCTATATAAAGTAATTAGTTTACTACTTAAAATTAAGTTAGATACTTATTTAAGT